ATTGAGATTCAATGAACCTCATACCGAAGGTTAATTCGATAAGAACGATTACTACACTTTGATCTTAGCCAAAAGGCCGAGAAGCGATACTGGATATAGTGTTGAATAACGGCTGTTACATTTTTGTGCCGTATCCCACTCGCGTGGAGCGCGCGCGCACTCAAAATGGGCGGTACCTAGCAAGCAAGCGTCAAGACGCGTTAGAGCTAGTCCATACATCGCAGGCGCCATAAATACCAACGGTAAACTAATTGTATTATACCTTTAACTGATGGTGAATGTGATCTCCAAAACCAAAAAGTTGATCGGTTTGTAATTTCGTAGCTATTTGAATGAATTTATCAGCGAACAACATTCCACCTATAACTCTTTTTTTTTCTTGAATGGATTATAGGCATACCTATCGATGTATCAAAGATTACATCTTTTGTAGAACTGCGAATAATCTTGAAATAGAAAATACTGGAATTAGGAATAGTGTCCTTTTGAAGAGTGAAAGTATCAGATGCGGAAGATGGTCCTCTTGGTATTCCTATTGGAGGAACATATCTTAGAAAAAAGGCATAGTACCTGACACTCAAGTGATATAAACCGACCTTCCATTCTGTCCTATAGACACGGATAAAGTAGCTCCATAACGAGTACTTGTGAAATCCAAAGGTCCGAGATTATCCCCAAATGGATTGGTGGTAACTAAATGAACTAACAATTTGCATTTGTTATAAATTACCTGGATATAGTTTGTTTCCGTTCAAACGGTATCCAGTTTCTGTTGGGAAGTAGCACCAAGGAGTTTCAGTGGGATCACTCTTCAAAAATCTTAATATCACGGGTTATTTCCTTGAAACATACGTTTGCTGCAGGTTCCCATACACAGTTTCTAGCTAAACATGCTTGTTGTGATGCTCCAGGGTCGGGAAAGCAATCAACTCTCGAACGCGCATCAATAGCTCCAACCTCGAAGCTGAGCAAAGAAACTAATACCAAAAGCTTGAGTTTATGCGCAAGCATCACCTGTAATTAGAAAATGTCAAAAAGAGTTCAAAAATTACTCAAAAGAGCAACCACTCGCAAAATATGCGATGATCTATTTAAATAAAGCAAAAGAATCCTTATCTAAAATCATAAACTTCTCTTTTACTTCATCATGTTACCATCAGCGAAATGTAAATTGTCGGTTTTCAGGAGAATTGGAACTTTCGCACAATATTCTTTCATGTTTAACACCAGAACATCACGAAAATGTTTATCCTAACTGACTTGCAACTTCAACGACATACGTTCTGATTTCCTAGTGTTTCATATCACGTTTGTTTTCTGATAAACCATTTTATCATTTCCTACACAGAAGGAAATTGTTCTCTCCTGTTTCAATGAACGCCATTAAGTGGCTCCTCGCATATGTTTTCAATGAAATAAAGAAAAGTTAATATATGCTAATATTCCATCCATAAAGAGTGCAAGAGCTTCATTATCACACAGACTAAGTATGCGCATCTGATCCCCCCAACAGGTAAACCAACGACCGGTAATTTTCCATCAAAGATAGGAATGATTTTGTGAAGCTTCATTCGCACGTGGATGCACAACCGATAACACGGAGCACGCATGCGGAATGATATCAGATGCTTTTCATTTTCTGAAAATCATGTGAGAATCACCGGTGGGTAAGAATGTTGCATCGGCAGTGTGGGGGTCGCCATATTCGATTTCCTTCGAAACAGAGTGAAGAAAATGTTTATTTGAATTTTTATTGAAAAAAAAAGCTGAAATGAACATCATAATCATCGGAAGGGAAGAAAATAATGTTTTTTGAATGTCTCTGTCTTCTTCTGGTTGTTGTGCCCATTGATTGAGCTATAAGAGTTGGCTCGAGTTCGACAATCTCATTCATTTCTTTTTTGAAATAATGAAAACGATAATGTATTTCAATTCCTATAGATATAGAGTTTTATGAAGAATGTTGAAATCATATGACAAACCAATATATTAACTCGAATATTTAATTTTAGGTCTTTAGAAAGACTTTGTCAATGAGTGCTTTTATCTATGGCCATCTCCCCCTTAAATCTCAGGGGGATTATTCTCAACGAATCATTAGACATTTCGACTTGACCATATGGATTAATAGTTAGAGTCCTTATGTATGGTCGAAGAGGTTAGTTTTACACTTAATTTCTATAATAATATTGTTTTTATAGCATGAGAAGGTGCATTTACCTATCTTTGTTCAGTTGTTTGTCATCTGTTATATTAGGGAGCGAAGATGAATATCGCTTACTAGCAGATTTGAAGTATAACTATGATTCATATGAAAGGCCAGTAGTCAATTCAAATGAGTCTCTTGTTGTTTCTGTTAAAATGTATTTACAACAAATACTAGACGTCGTATGTTATATTCTAATCTTTAATTCTTTACAGTTCATTTTAGGATGAGAAGAATCAAGTTTTAACTTTAACAGCATGGATTGAATACCAATGGACTGATTACAAACTCAAATGGGAACCTTCTGAATATGGAAATATCAAAGATATTCGAATTCCGGGTGATGGTCACACTATTTGGCGTCCAGATGTTTTGTTATATAATAGGTTTCTTTTGTTTTCATGATTGATTAGTTCAATTGACATTTCAGTGCTGACGAAAATTTTGATTCGACTTACCCTGTGAACTATGTGGTCAGTCATACAGGGCATGTCTTACAAGTTCCTCCTGGAATTTTAAAGCTATCATGTAAAATAGATATTACTTATTTTCCTTTCGACGACCAAATATGTCATTTGAAAGTAATGGTTGAGTTCTTCTTCCTAAATCATCTCATTTATCTTTCAGTTCGGTTCTTGGACGTACAGCGGAAACTTTATTGATTTAAGAATAAATGGTCCTGATGGTTATAACATATCTGAACAAGGAATGGATATATCATATTATATAGAAAATGGAGAATGGAATTTACTTGGTTTCATCCATAATTGCTTCTCAGATGCTTTTCATTGTGATAATTCCAGCAGTACCAGCTCGAAATGAAACAAACGTTTTTGATGGGGAACCATATCCTTCCATCTATTTTTACTTAATTATTCAAAGAAGAACTTTGTACTACGGTTTGTTCCATTCTGTATACGTTTGAAATCCGTTCTTAAGGCTTGAATTTGATTATCCCTTCTCTACTGATATCTTTGATGACAGTGCTTGGATTCACGTTACCGCCTGATGCTGGAGAGAAGATTACTTTGGGTTCGTGAAGCTTCTTATAGCATTTCTGAACTTGATTTCAGAGATCACAATCCTTTTGTCTGTTTGTTTTTTTCTCAGTATGGTTGCTGAGATGACACCTCCAACTTCTGATGCAGTTCCTCTAATAGGTATATAAATGATTTGGTATACTAATGGCAAAAGGTGCTTGCTTTAGGTGCTTTCTTTTCCTGTTGTATGCTGGTAGTGTCGGCGTCTGTAGTTTTCACTGTTCTCGTTCTGAACCTTCATAATAGAAAACCTGAGACTCATGAAATGAGCCCTTTTGTACGTTTGGAATGAAGAGTTTCTGATAATATTAAAAATTTATAGTTAAGAGAATTCCTATTAGTATGGTTACCGGGTGTACTCGTCATGCAGCGACCTAATTTGTCTAGTGCAGAAGAGCAGGTTAGTTCTTTCATGTTTCCGCCCTTCAAGTTATTTCTTGTTATCAATAAGGAATGTGAATTGGCTCCAGCTTGTGTACGAAAACGTTATCAACCGACACTCCCTCCTGGTGAGTAACTTCTTCTCCAATCTTTATCTTCTAAAGAAGAATAGTTAAAATAAAGCAAGTTCATGGAAGTTGTATTTAAGCTGTGTGCAAGCAGATGATGAGAGTAAACAAATGAAAAACTCTTTATTATAGTGCCTGATAGTGATATGTTGACATCGGTTGAGACCCCCATGTATCATTCACTCGTTATCGAAAAAGGAAAATGTACTTCAATTTGCAAATCTGAACCTAGTAATAGATAGTACTTTGCCCTTTTACCTTATAACAATGTTTACAGATGAGTTAACGAGGTATTTGAAAAACGCTTGTTCAGAGCTCAAGAAAATTTCGGGACAAATCAAAATAATACGCAAACGTAGTGACGAAGAGGAGAGAGTAAGCTAATGGAACTTGTTGAAGGAAGTTTAATGACGTGTTTAAGGATGAATTGGTTGAGAACGAATGGAAGTTCGCTGCCATGGTGATCGACAGATTATGTTTATTCGTTTTTACAGTTTTTATTGTTGTATCTACTTTTGGAATAATGCTTTCTTCTCCCCATCTCATTGCTTGACCAGTGATTTGAAGAAAGAGCTTATCAGTCGGATTGTCTATTCATACTCTCGACTATTAGTGAAAAGGTGGTTTAACCTTAGACTGATACCAACGAATGCATCTCATCATACAAACCTCTGAATAAAAAATTTTACATCTTGATAAGGAATCATTCAATGCAAACAGTTTGGGTATTTCTCCTAGTTCTATGCATATTTATTATTATTTTCTTGAATCATGACAATTCTAAGTATGAGGAATCCATTCAGGAAGTATTAGACGGTAAAATATCTTTATATCCATCTTGTTTATCATTATTTACAGATGACAAAGAAAAATTCAACACTAACATAGACCAATGTGTTCCAAACTATACCTTCTATGAGCAAATGTTGAAGGGTGGCAGAGGTAATCGGAAACAAAAACGAACTCCGCTGTTGTTATTAGCCGCTTATGAATATGTAGATCATGTAGCTGTTACTATACAGTCTGATGGTTGGTATGGGTGAGTAACTTACACACTGAGATTGTCAATGTATCTCACATTACTACTTTCAGCCAAGACGTTTATTGTCGCTATTTAAACAAAAATTTTGAAGAAATCAGCCAACCTATGCGAACCAAAGTTTTCCCGGAATGGACAGTTATGTGTTGTAATCGAGACAATGTTTCGTACATGAGTATCACTACTAAAGAAGATGATGACATTGTACAACATACTAAGTTATTATCGAGAAAACCACAAGGTAGAATGATTGATTGTCATTTTTTAAGTTTTTGCTTGTTCAGACATGAAATATGAACTATCTGTGTGCTTAGCTCCCATATATGGAAATGAAACAAAATGGCTTTTGCTAGCGGAAACAATTGAGCATTTTAGAATACAACGTGTAGATCATTTTTACTTGTATATCAAAGATATTGATAGTTATTCTAGGCAGGTAATAGAACTCTCTGTGATTCATTCATTGAATATTCAGCTAGTAGACTACTATGTACAGACAGGCATAGCTGAAGCTATATACTTCGAAAACCGACAAGACAGACCGCGTTACGAATGGCATCTTACGGGAGTTCAGGTCTGTATTATTAGTTATGAGCTGGTTGGAACTTATTTTCTTTCAGGATTGTCTTCAGCGTAGTAAGTATGAATCACGCTATGCAATGTTCATTGACATTGATGAGAGAATAGTTACTAGTAAACCAAACGACTTATTACAAGTTACAAGGTACTCTTTTAACTGTTTTTCACAAGCAAATGAACCTTTAAGAAATTTCTTCCAAGATAAAAAAGTAGGAACGGTTACATTCAGACCTCGATGGATATTCCGAAACAAACCTCTTCCAGTGAAGTATGAGGTAAGAAGATTGTAACTGTTCTGAGCATTCGTTTATTCTTTTTTTCAGGGAGAGAAAACCCTCCGCGATCACCTTCCAACATTAGTTTTCCACAACACTACTCACGTATCTCCTCCTGGTCATACGGTGAAAGCTATTTTGAATCCTATTGCGGTTTTTATATATATTTGAATGCATAATGGAGTGATTGGTTTCTAGGTGCTCTCTATGTGGATACACTGGCCTATGCATATGTACCCTGGCTTTAAAGATGTTGGCGTGCCTCCAGCTGTGGGATATATTAGGTAAAAACCCAAAGCATCTTGCAATGAGATAATTTTTAAGGCATTATCGAGACGTTTTCTCTGGAGATTGGGGTAAAAAATGGATGCCAGAAACATTGAAGTTCGGTAAACTTTCATCGACGGACTATCCGCCATCCTTGATGCCACGATTATTTGATAATGTTAAAAGACATCTTGACCTCACATACGGTGATACTCTTCCTAACGGATTCTAAGTATATTAAACTATAAATAATAATTTACTAAGCAATCTATAGTTCAAATAGTTAACGAAACTACAAACTTGACTAAATAGAACTATTTGTTCCCGTATTTCCATGAGCGATTTGAGAAATCCTATGCAGTTTTTCTGGTGGTTTGCGAACACTATTGATCATTCTCTTTTGGAAGGACAGACTCCACAAAATCTACAACAGACTTATCCCCAAAAGGAGGAGGCCCAATGAGCTTTCTGACATCGTCATACGATAACACTTCCTGCTTCAACAGGGATTGCGCGATCTGAAACTTCTTGATAGATAGATATAAAATGTATGAACTGACAAGTTCTAGCTTATCAGCATTTTTTCTTATTAATGTATCGGTCATTTTGTAAGCTTGACCAACTATGGCAGACGCTTCCTAAATGTGAGATATTTTGAAAAAGAAGAGCAGATCTCACTCACCTGATCAAACTCAGCTCCCATTTTTTTGCTATACGGTTTGATATTGAAATCGTCCCCTGTTGGAAAAGATAAAGGCCCTATGTTAGTCGACATGCCGTAAACTTTTACTTGCGAATAAGCTGAACGCGTGACCTGAAAATGTAAGAAGTCAATGTTTTCTACATATAAGGTCATTTACTTTTTTCAAATCGTCCTCAGCCCCTGTGGTAATACGCCCGAATTTGAAGTTCTCTGCACATCTTCCTCCTAACATCATACACATTCTGTCGAACAGCTGAAAATTTTGCTTTTTTCCACCTGTCTTCATGTTTTTAGTTTACCTCTTCCTTGTTATATAATTTCTTGTCTTTCGGACTATACTGTGCGAACCCCAGAGCTGCAGATGTCCGAGGAATTATCGTGACCTAATAAATATATAATCGAAAGAAGTGGTATGAAATATAACCTTGAGTAGGGCGTCTGTATGTTCTAGCAACCAGCCTGTTAAAGCGTGCCCGGCTTCATGATAGGCAACAACCTCTCTTTCTTCCTCGACTAACGTGCGCGAACGTTTTTCAGCTCCTAAATAAATCCTAGTGTGAACAGCTTTTACAAAATTTCTTCCACCTGCTAGTACTCGATCTAGAGCATATTCTATATCTTTGATAGAAACCAGTTTGTGCTGCAAAGCTGCAGCTCGGATGGCAGATTCGTTAACCACATTGAAAATATCAGCTCCTGCATAGAAAAAAAAATGAAAGAAAACTAGAAAACAACTACCAGAAAAACCAGGTGTCATTTGAGCTAAGCGCTGAGAATAGCCTTGAGGCGAATGATCCAGCTTAATTCTAGAGCGAAAGAACGTTTAACGGGAATATTCAATAAGTTCACCTTTTCAAATATAGTTCAAACATCTCCTTTCTCTCTATAACAGTGGGCAGGTCGATAGAGATATGACGATCAAACCTGCCAGGACGCAATAGAGCCTTACAGAGTAACTATGAAGCAGCGAACACTGAAGTCAAACTCACTTTATCCAAAATATCAGGTCTATTGGTACTAGCCAAAACTATTATTCCTTGACCACTCCCCATTCCATCCATTTCAACTAATAGTTGATTCAATGTTTGTTCTTCTTCGTTTGATCCTCCGCCTGAAAATCAACTTGAAAATTACCAAATTCTCAATAATCAAATTTACCAACACCGCCTGACTTTCCTCCACCTTCACTTCTTTTTCGACCAACAGCGTCAATTTCATCGATGTATACTATACAAGGAGCCCTAGCACGAGCCTCTTTGAACAGCCCTCGGATACGAGAAGCTCCAAGCCCTATTACAGAACTTCATGATATGTCTCGGAGACTCGCAAACCTCCAATCATCTCAACAAACTCCGAACCATTCATAGAGATAAAAGGAGCAGTTGATTCAGCTGCTAAAGCTTTGGCTAACAAAGTTTTACCACAACCAGGAGGGCCAGTGAGTATAGCTCCTCTGGGTAACTTTGCCCCCAATCGCTTGAAACAAAGAATATTTATTCAGCATTAAGACACTTACAGTGTATTTTGTAGGATTTTTGAGATAATCAACAAACTCTGAAATTTCTTGTTTTGCTTCGTGACATCCAGCAACATCCTAAATGAGCAGCAATTATGTAAGATTAGCAAGAAAATATCACCTTGAACTTTATTTTGAGCTGTTTTTTACCTTCGGGGCTATGAGGATCAATGATGTTAAACTTTGTTTTCGTTACGTTAGACTAAAAACGATGATGTAAAGAGAAGTATCATAAGTGTAGCTACCATCATATCACTCAAGTTGAATGCTCCCTTGAATTTTCTGAAAAGTAGAAAAGCTCCTATGATTAGGCCAGAAGCTAGTATCAGGGTGAACCATTGAGCTCTGAATAATCGATCATAGTCTGAACAGAGCTTTCATCACTTACACAGACTCCATTCGTCGGAACTGTACGGGAGTCCAGTGCTCAGGAGGAAGTCCGATAGCCATTTCCGCAGCGCGCACTTCCGACTCAAATCTTGGAACTGAAGGAATCGAAATCCTGTACAACGCTTCTAACTAAACAAAAAGTACGAAGAAGCATAGCATTAGTCAGCTTACAGGCTCCCCTCTGAGATTTTTTGCACCAGCATACATGTAGATGAAAGCCACTTCTTTCTCTGGGAAGACTATGATTTTACTGATCTAGAAAACATATATAAATCCCCTGCCTTATGTGAAGCTCAGTCATAATTCAAAAGCTTCGTATCTGACTTACTTGTCCAGTAGGTAGTATATTGTTGACGAAATCACTCCAAGTAGTTCCAACTACGCCTGCAGGTCCATCGGAACTTGGACTAGAAAACCATGATTATTCATGACATTCCGCAGTTCATCCCACCTAATCATATATAAAACTCCATAGGAGAAAAGAGCAACAGCGAAGAACTTTCGCATCTTGTTTACTAATTCCCTCCTTCGATCCTCATCAGAAGGTTCCTGTTTATTTTCATTACTTTCCTCCTTGTCGTTATTGAATCCATCCGATTGTTTCCCTGATTGGTGAAATTAATCAAGTCTGCAAGATTTCTCGAAATACCTTTTAAGTTCTCTCTCTCTCTTTTGTTATCGGCTCTCCGATCCAACGTCGATTTCGCAGTTTTTGTTCGCTCTCTTGTTCTCACGGTCCCCCTGGCTGAACAACCTCATTGAAAAAAAAAGTTCAAAGTAATTACCATTAAAAATTTGATCCAATTCAATGTTTGTGGGAACAGCATATGTCCTCAATGAAGTTTTTGAGTGTAATTGGATCGCGAGACGAGTAAACGGAACAACATTTTTGGAATAATTAACGAAGCATCTTATCATTCTTCTGAAACGAGGGATCGATAGATGACTTTGGCCATATATGAAGTAAAAAACAAATTCGCGAAAGATTAAAGATATGCAAACAGTCGTACGGAAATAGATGGAACCTGCTAAGATGACACAACAGCGACAATTTCGTTTCACGACGCGCTGTCCTCAATTTCGAAATGTTTTGAAGCTTTTCATATTTTCGAAATTTTGTTTATTAAGTGTATTTTTAATGAATTATTCATTAATATTATATGGTTTTGACGAAGTTCTCACATCTACCTGGCTTATCGTTATTTCTTAGTTCTGTTATATGAGATTTCAAGAGCTTTTTTCTTTACTTCAAGCTAGTTCTAGATTTTTCCAAAAATCCATAGTAGTTCCCATTAAAGAGTTGTCGAATTGTCACGTGAGCTTCACTATTGTCGCATCAATTTTCTTTTTTTCTTAAAAAACAGCAAGGCAATAATTGGACTGAACACTGCTCTGTTAACACTTAGCCGCAATGCCCTGTTCAAAATTTCTTTCGCGCGCTCTACCGCGAACATTCGGTGTAGGAACCCAACGATTATTGTACTAAGGCTCTTGGGGCCGCCTGCTGACCGATTCCATAGTGATTTGCCCTACCCTCCGCTTCTATCATTTTCATTTCTCTGGTTTAAGATTTTATGGAATAAAAATTATGAGTTAGAAGGGAAGAATAAAGAAAGTTGTTGAGTATATCTCAAAAATAAAGAATTATATTTTTCGTTATCAATCTCATATTACAATTCATTTCTTACTGCATTAACGTTATTTCAGCTTTCTGCTCGTCGGGTCTTGCTGTTTTTCAGTCCGCACATATAATGGCTCTCAAGCGAATTCAGAAGGTATTAATTTGTTTTGCTCTAACTTGTGTTTTTTAAAATTTTTACTTTTTAAGGAACTTCAAGATCTTGGAAGAGACCCACCCGCTCAATGCTCTGCTGGGCCTGTCGGTGATGACTTGTTCCACTGGCAAGCTACCATCATGGGACCTCCTGAATCACCATATCAGGGAGGAGTTTTCTTTCTGACCATTCATTTCCCAACAGATTATCCTTTCAAACCTCCTAAGGTTAGTAATATGATCAATGAATATACTAATGAAGCTACTGTACAGGTTGCATTTACAACACGTATATACCATCCTAACATTAACTCGAATGGAAGTATCTGTCTGGATATTCTTAGATCGCAATGGTCTCCAGCTCTGACAATATCGAAAGGTAGTTCAGAAAAATCAATTATTAAATATTCAAACCAACATTTAGTATTGCTTTCTATCTGTTCACTGTTATGTGACCCAAATCCAGACGATCCTCTAGTGCCAGAGATTGCTAGAATCTACAAAACTGATAGAGATCGGTAACATGATGCATTTTGAACTTTTTGCCTAAATATGGATATTTCAGCTACAACCAGCTGGCTCGTGAGTGGACCCAGAAGTACGCCATGTGATGAGTTTCCGTTTTCCTCCCGATGTAATATAAACGTTTTATGACTGGATTTTTTTTATGTGTTTGTGCTACTGTGGTTTTTGCATTGTAATTTATCTGACCACCTGAGTGATAAACTCATTGTGCAATGAAAACTCTCCTCATTTGGTAGTTTCCATACATACTTATTAGCATAACAAATAACAGACACTGATGTATTTGGATGATGAATTGTAGTTAATGTCAGTAAATCTCACCTTCGTGCCTTGTGGGTCTTTTGTGGATATTGGCTTTTGGAGTGAGATTAATAGGAGGAAGTTGAATGAATGGAAACTCGATGAATCTCCTAAATCCTGCAAGGCTGCTTTTTCCATTTGTGGGTGACTTCATCATCCTTCACGCATCAACCAAATAATTCAGATGATCTGGTGGGTAATGAATGCCGTTTGAATTTCAGCCATGAAAGCTTCGACAGTGACTCATCTGGGCTGCCGGGGACTGTACTTCTTTTCAACACTATAGAAGCTTTCAAGGCTCTGCCAAAAGGCGAATTCATCAAGCAACAGGGAAATAAGGTGTGGTTCGGAGTTCTATATACATCTACGATTCAATTGAAGATATGGGGTTCAATAACTAGCGGTAATTGGCTCGAAGATCCGATGAGTCTTCAGAACTTTTCACTAACACTATTTGCTGACTTGAAGAAGTTCCATTACTATTACTGGCTTTGCACCCCAGCAGTATTGAATTTCCCACGTGATCTCAAGGCACAGGTTGTTCTTCGCCAAGAGATGTTCATATGCGAGTGATTCAGATCAACTCATGTAACGGGCTTGACAAGGAGGCTTTATTGAAGTATTATGAAGAATCTCAGCAAACAATATTCATAATTGATGGATCAACTTTTCATCCTCTTTCCGCACTCAAAAGTTTCGCCACAATGAATGATAAAAAAGTTATCATGTGGTCGCTATCAATCTCACAGTTTTTGTCACTTCAGATTGTTTTTGCTGACTCGTCACCAGTACCTGATCACCCCGGTTGGGCTCTCAGAAATCTGATTGCTGCTGTTGCGGCGTTCAGATGTGATACTCAATCGGCTACTTTTATTTCCTTAAAAGGACAACATGCTTTACAAGAGTTTGTTGTGTCGTGGTCACCATCCGCGGTAAGATAACGAACAAGAGTTCTTGGATAAGTTCCTTTCAGGTTCCAACTGATATCGAATTCACAGGGTGGGAACCTAGTGCACAAGGAAAAATGGCGCCTCGAGTAGTTGATATGAAAAAACAATTCGATCCTAAACAGTTGGGAAATAGTATGAGATAACGAATAATCATATGGTTTTAGATTAATGAAGCAATCAGTTGCGTTAAACTTGTCGTTAATCAAATGGCGTTTAGTTCCCGAGTTGCAGCTTGATCGTTTTGAAAACTTGAAGGTTGGGAGTGCTCGAACAGCAGGATAAATTTATACCAACGTGTTCTAGGTTCTCATATTCGGGGCCGGTACTTTAGGATGCAATCTTGCCAGAAATCTTATGGCTTACAATGTTCAAACTATTACATTCATTGATAATTCCACCGTAAGCTATAGCAACCCCGTGAGGTTTAGTTTACTATTTTTATACCCCTCATTTGCTTCTATTGAAGACAATCCTTATCAAAGTTCGAAGACGCTAGACTCAGTAGAGGAAAAGCTGAAACAGCAGCTGAAGCTTTAAAGGAAATTTACCCCTCAATTGATGCTCAGGCGATTCATTTGACTGTTCCAATGCCGGGTCATCCGATCAGCGCGAATCGTAAGCGTATTTCACTGTGGCGGTAATAATATGTGAACCTTGATTAGAAGAGGAGCAGTTGAAAGCTGAGATAGAAAGATTAGAAGATCTTGTATCGAAACATGACGTTCTCTTCCTGGCTCTAGATAGTAGAGAAGCTAGATGGTTACCAACAGTTATAGCAAATAAGTATAAAAAGGTATGTTTGCTCACGTTCAACAATGACTTTTTTGTTTTTGTTAAGATGGCGTTCAGTGTTGCTCTAGGCTTTGATAACTACGTTGTGATTCGTCATGGTCTCTCGGGAGATGAGGCATGTTGGGATAACGAAGAAAAACCTCAATTAACGCCTGGTTCTCTTGTACCATACTCGGAACTAGCTTGTTATTTCTGCAGTGACGTCACAGCTCCCGGGAATTCTATGGGTGACCGCACTTTAGATCAGCAATGCACAGTCAGATTATCCTCTAGTAGTTATTGCTCAAAGTGTTGTTAAGGTGAGCAGACCCGGATTGTCTCCTGTTGCCGCTGGGATAGCAGTAGAGTTGATGGCTTCAGTGCTACAGCATAGAGATCCTCGCGGAGCGAGCGCTAATATAGGTGAATCGTTGACTACAGTATGAAGAAAAACAACTTGTTTCAGGAGAGCCTGATGACTCGTCATCATTGCTCGGTGCGACTCCTCACCAAATAAGAGGATTTATGTACAAATTCCAACAAGTATGAAGTGAATGTTGTTTTTAAAATACAAGTTTTTTACAGATTACTCCATGTGTTCGACGATTCCAGAAATGTGTTGCTTGTGGAGAAGCAGTATGTAAAAGATTTGAAGAAGAAGGATGGGAGTTTGTCAAGCAGGTCTTGAACAGTCCTTCTGAATTGGAACGGGTCTCCGGCTTAGATTCTCTTCAATTATCCGTAGATGATGTACAAATCGATTTTAGTGATAATGATTCTGTGATGTCCTTATAAGTGTCTTATAAAAGAGGGGTTATTCTTGTTCGCTTTGTGGATAAACATTTGCTGAACATCATATTCAATACGAAACTCATGGAAAACCATAAAACAATGTCTTCAATAGAACTGTTATCGAACAATTTAATCCTTATATAGATTAATGGCATCACCATCTGGCCAGTTTAACTGTGACGTTTGTGGAAAATCTTTTGATGTCAAGAGGTTTGTCATCTCACAGTGACGATTGATCAGAATCTCTTCAGATACTTGGTCAAACATGAGAAGCGTATGCATTCTGATACTTCCAAAAAAAAAGAACCTGTTGTTGACTTAAAATGTTCGATGTGCGGAAAGGTCATCTAACTGTTTCGTCAAAAAAAATAAACGAATGAATTTTTCAGGCTTTTCCCAGGATATCTCATCTACAGCGTCATCAAGTAACTCACCTTAACATTCGGGAATTCAAATGTCCCTTTTGCAAACTGCAATTTGTACAAAAAGTTATTGGATTGCGTTACGTCTTTATTTGATATCCTAGTTTCCAGGCTCACCTTATTAGGCATGTTAGTCGATTCCATGCAACGGAAGATATTAAGAGTTTGAATGATTTCATATCAACTAAGAGAATCAAAAAAGAAAAAGGTTTAATCTTAATGAATTCGAGTGGGATGCCATGAATAACATTTCAGAGAAAATGACGCCTAACGATCAAAGTTTTTCCATGCCATCCACTTCCTCGGACACTTCAACATTCTGCGGATCCCTACTGGAATATTTTCTTTGTTTTCGATGTGGTCAGCTATTCGACAACAGATTTGATCTAACTCGACATTTGAAAGTAAATTTACGAGTTTAGTTCTTGAGTAAATAAGGATATTGCAGATTACGCACAAGCCATTAGTTTGCCACCATTGTAATTTAATATTTTACGGAATCGAGTCGTTGAAGTTACACGAGTTGAAGACCCGAAACTTGTTTTATAAGTGTCATTGTGGCTCTTCTTTTAATAAAAAGGATACTTTCGAGTAAGGCTTGGCTATTCGCAAGTACATCTGTCATGATTTCAGCCGTCATCAGGATGCCTGCGCTGGCAAAGGAACGTTCATCTGCATGGAGTGCGGACAGGTGTTCGTACAAAGGACTCAGGTAGCACTGAATAACCTTAACTGACCGTATTCTCTTTTTTTACAGTTTGATCGCCATTACAATAAAGAACATTTCCTCAACAGACAGTGTCATTTGTGTGAATGGAAAGCTGTTTCACCTGTTAGCATGCACAAACATATGAAAGACGAACATGAGAAAGATTGGTGAGGCATCATCCTTTCCTAGCTCTCCTCTCTAGCTTTCTCTCTCTCTCTTTCTCTTCCTTCCACGTGCATCAAAACTAATTCTTGCAGTTGCGGATTTTGCGGCAAATTAGATCCTGAGCGTAATCACATATTTATTTACCATTGGAAAAGAGTGAAAAAGTCGATTTCACTCAACAAGAAGTCGAACTGCCTCATTTCACTGCCAATTGCCAATTTTCTTCAGAGTTCGGGTTCCAGTTGTTTCAAATAAAACCTTACAAAAAGAAACAAAAGTGGAGAGTGAAGAAGACGAAGATGAAACAGATGCATTTTCCTATGATTGTGAGGCAGATGTCGAAACGTCCATGTTTCACAGCGGTTTGTATCTTCTTGCCTTCTATATCACTTTCTCAATTTGAAGAAATCGATGGAAATCACTTGGAAGAGACAACAAAAGAAAAGATTTTCTTGAGTGAAAATCAATATGAATTCATTATGGCAAACAATCAAAATGTATCAAAGAACTCCACGAATGACAGTCTTCAAGGTTTTCAAAAAGTAAACGGAAAATCATCTCTTTTCCTTCGTATTCTAGTGGACTTAAAAGAAGATGAAGGATTGGATCAATTCGCTGACTCGGAGCTATTTGAGAAAGCGTCGACTAACACCTTGGAGAACGAAATCATCCTCAACTTAATCGTTTCCGTTTCTGATGGGGTACACTTCCATTTTTAGCATGTGTCTAGAACATCTTTATAGGCTGAAGAAATTAATTTGGGAGAGAAACTTCCAAGCGAATTGCTAGAAACCTTTCCCGATTTGAGATCAGCAGGTTACGCGTAACTTTTCTCTTTCCAATTTTCAACTTCCTTCTTGCAGTCATTCTCTTGAATAACAGCTTCCCTGACAAAAGATTTCTCAACCTGAGCATTCCCATGCTCCCTCCTATATGTGATACGGATTTAACAAAATGGCTTTCAGCACCAATTCAGGTCTAACAATAAATTATTTTCTGACATAAATTTCTCCCTAAAACTGTGTTCTAATTATATATTCCACAACTTCAATATCATATATCAGTCAGTATTATACTTGTGTATTTGAGATGAATGAACGTTTGAGAATTAGAAATGAAACAGTTCAGTGCACTTCAGGGCAGTTTGTAAGATATCCAATTCAGGAATCTTACATCATATAGCACAAACGTAGGCGTTGAAGATTTCTAACTTATCAACAGTCTCCTTGATACTACGAAACATCAACTTTCTGGATCGGAGATTACCAATTGAAGTAACTTGTTTTTATAGTATGGTTCGTATGTAATGTTTCAAAATTGGAGGAAGCAAAAGGATATATGTTGGTTGAGATGACAACTGAAACGAAGCGATTAATATAAAATTGAAATGAAAGAAAGTTTAGCAGAAAAAATGATGGGGTAATTAATGATCTGTTGGTAGTTATGGTTAAGAAGGAATTGTCAAAACAATGCCTTCTAGACTTCCGTATGCTAATGATGGTGGTCGTGACTGTAAATTAGAATCTGACGTCACGGTGTTTGGAACTTTATTTTTGAAAGGTGCAACGTAGGGCACGGTTGTTTTTAAATTTCCGGAAATAGTTTCAGTCGTTCAGAGGTTGCATCAGTTTTATTTCTGTTTTAGTTATTTTCAAGTAAAATACGTTATTAACAATCAATTTATTCACACGTTTGTTATGATGGTATATACAGACGTATTTAAAAGAATTTAGTAATTTGAATAGCATGAGAGATCAAGAGAGAGAGAGAGAATACGATTAGAGTAAGAGTGATACAGGGAGATATAAGCGATTACAAGTATTTTAATAAATATAATAATAAGATAATATTATTATATATTAATTATGCGAGATCATTATCAGATACAGAGAGATAGAGAGAGAGAGAGCAATGAGTTTCTGTGTCTACGGCTATAGGCTATCTAGCCAAAACGGACGAAACTTGGCTTGCGCTTGTCCATTTGCATCATGTCTTGATTGTCCAAATTACTACTTCGTTTACCGAAGCGAACAAATGATGGCTTACGTTTCTCCATCATTCCATGCTATAAGAAGGAAATAATAGAAATTTTGTTTACAAGAAGAACTATAGCAAACTTACTTCATAATCATCCGAGTAATTATCTTGTTGAAGCAAGTATTCACATAATTCTCGGTTTTCAGATTTTTTGCAGAGCTCTACCAGTCTATCATCATCCTGAAAAGTAGGAGTTCGTATGTTGTGTGTTTTTGAATTGAAGCACAGCAAGTTTTTCACACAGGTTCTCATGTTTATGACCCTAAGAGCTTTATAAATCTTTCATCGATGGATAGCTCTTGTCTTGAATTCAGACATTTTTTTTATTCTTTTCTTCAAGAATGAGTTGTTATGAACAAATTGAGTTGCTTATTGACACTTTCAGAACATTTTCAACTTTTTTTGTAAAATAGAAAATCCCTCGCAGATGCCCTCTGGCCAACTAATCAACATGGAAGCTTATAATTCAAATCTTTCATCCATGAATGATTCTCTGACCTTTGAGTCTTTTTTTGACTTCCACCGATGTAATTTGATTCACTAATGTAAAAAGGCTCTCTTCATTTAGTTAAATATGACTTTTAATCTGCTGAAACACAGGTTAGCTCATGATGTCATTTTCACAATGAGTTCTATTTGGTTTGAACTCGGAACAAGAAGAGTGGTTGGACCCAGAAATTTATGATGGATTTGATATATTTCTTTCGCGAACGAAGAAATATCTCATAAAACTAATAATATTTTATTTCTTCTGTCAGGACTTAAATGGCTTTTTAGGATACGATAGAAGTAAAGATGACTATAAGCAATTGCCTGAAACGTTTTGTGGGATGTATAGAGAGAGAGAGGATGAACGAGAGATATTTAGAGTTCTTAAAATTCAAATTTATAGAGAGCGTGAGAGATATATGAAAGAGAAAGAGCATGTAGGAGGAGGTAAGCACTTGCAGCTCCCATACAAAGGTTTAAAACAGTTGTGTTCAGATCAAACCCCAAAAAGGACATGAAATTGAAATGGAAGTTTATCGTTATTCTCGATGATGTTTCATTTCCATAAAAGACTCTCAACATGAAACAAAAAATGGATCATCAATAAGTGAATGAATTATATAAAGGTCTTCGATATAGTTTGAACCAAAAATAGTTACCCTATCGAGCAATATAGAGAGAGAGAGGAAAAGAGAGAGAGGGGGGAAGAGGGAGAGCAAAACAAAAACTTTCGTTACTTTTTTCAATTTAGTAAACCTTCTCTCATCAATGGTCCCTTCTCTTTCCGAAACCAAAATTGAAATTCATCTTTTTTCATACTCATAGTGCTCACAGTGATATCCATGGAGACAAGTTGACGATGAGGTGCCACATTGTGCGTCCATCACTCACGTCAATGATCATCTAATCATACAAATTCCATAAAATGAATACAAAAACTTATTTTAATTGGAATTTAAACAACAAAAGATTTCACGAGTTCGGACGGAAATCAGATTGGCAGATGCGTGCCTTTGATAATGGATGGAAAAAAATCTTTTTTTCTTGGTTTTTTTCTGGATGATGAACATCAGAGATTCAGAAGAAAGAGTGGACACTCTATTTTTGGTCTTTTCTTAGGTCTCGTAATTCTAAATTTTTTCTTTTTAAAATATTCTGAATTCGACGCTACCCCTCATCCCACACCAGACATTCCACGCCGATGATCTGACAGAATTCAATTGAGTTGAGGCAATTTGATCGTCGTTTTGGCTTGTTCGATTCAAGTGTGACATCATCATTATTGAATTTTGATTCTTTACGGTAACTGCTTCGAGAACTTTTCCAGCTTAGTTCAACGATCCAGTCGCATACAGATACAGCTGCTTGTGACGTCACATTTGCGGTGGCGATGCTGATGATTCAGCTTCTTCTTGCTAGAAAGCCATTAGGGTCTTCATAATTTGCATAAAAAGATATCTGGCATTTCCGCCTTATAAAGTTGATTGCGGATGATGAGCTCGAAAAGGAATGACGAGAATTTGTATAATCCTCTTGTGTCTTTACTTTTGCCAGCTACAATATGAAGACCAAAAGGATTAGCCTATGCTTCAATCCTGACCATTTGTGCAGATAAAGAGAATGGGAACAAGATGAAGAAGTTGCTTATGTAATAATGACGCGACATTCAACGAGGAAACCCTCTGTGATATCTCTATCTAGCTTCTCTATTCTCTTCGGTTCAATGAGAAATAAAGAATTTCTTTCCTTTTCTTGTTCAAGCCTTTTACAAACGGAATTATTAATGATGTGAAGTGAATTTAGTGTAGTGGAGACTCTTCTACGTTCTCATCCACTTGCAATGAATTTCTTGGAAGAATCATGTTATCTGTGAAGATTTCTTCACTCCATCTGAACTATTCCCTCTCTGCATGATAATGAAGAAGCATTTTCATCGGATTTCTGACATATTCATGCCCTATTGTCCTCATTCATCCATATTCGTGATTGAAGTTCATTAAAAATGAAAAAAAATGAGATTCCTTCATTCAGCTTTCGTCTGCTAATTGGAGTCATTAAAGCTTCATCTGCTCCGCATGTCTAGCTTCATACATGTTCCTTATGTGACTTTCATCAAATACAGAATCTTCACGAATCTATTTTGTACAGAAACAATGAAGGAAAAACAAATTTTCCAAATCACATCTCCCAAAATACGGTCCTTGACTGCCAGATTGAATTAAAAATCGTTTTTGGATAGAAAAATGGCAAATATTCAATTGCGATTGGAACGTAAAGAGTAGGAGGCAAAGCTATGGAGCTTTCTCAAAAAAATAATTTCATTAGTTAACAGTTCATAAAAGGATTGGAAATCGGCAAAAAGCGTGAAAGGTCATTCAATGAATTCAGATGAAATCATTGTCTCTCATTCATTTGAGAGCCTAGAAACGTGTCCCAAGCTGTCTGTCTGCTTTCAATAGCTACCAAAGGTATGTGGTAGACAGAAGCTCGTTTTACGTTTGTTTTTTATTTCAATGAAGAACATATTTGGACATGAATTAGCTAAAAAAGCTCTCATTTTACGTGTTGAACCGAATGCTCCCAACCTTCTGTACCTCACTTGTCTCTTTCTCTCTCTGGGAGACAAAAAAAACGACTTTTCTTTTCATTTTGCAACATCAAAAACACGAAAATATCAAGAAAATCCAGAAATTTCACAGAATCTCAATGGAATCAACCTCGTTAGTTCTGCTTATTTCCGGATGATTTGGGCGAAGGACTTGTCGCTTCCATATTTGACAGACAAGGAAACATAAAAGTCACTCAAGTTCTTCTAATCAGACAAAAAATTTTGAAGGTTCGAAAAGTAAGGTCAGAGAGAAGACAAGATTTCGATGATTCAACCAAAACAATTTTTTTTGTGAAATTTGTTTTGTTTTCTTCAAATGTCGATAGGACGGGAGGAAGCTTAGGAGCCTTAGAAGGGAACTGCATGAAGAGGGCAGTGGAAAACGAGGAGACGCTCATTGATGTATTGGAAGGTTGAAAGGTGAAGGTTTCAGATCTCTTTCCTCTAAGCGATCAGTGTAGCAATGAAAACACACACAATGACATCATTGGTGTGTTTTATGAAAATGAACGGTTGAAGCCTCATCGGGAACATTCAATCTCTTTTAAAAAAGTAATTTTCAACCGAAAAAGGAGTAGATTAAGCATTGAAAAAACAGATGAAGTATCAATTTTCTTTTATACAATAAGAGAAGAAGGAAGCGAAATGATTAGAGAAAACAACCATTTCCATAATTTCCAAAATTAAATTTGAATTTATGGAGCAAGGATTTCTTTCGATGAATCCTTATATGGGAGTCCAAGGAAGGCATCAAACGTAGATCTAACACCCCCATACATATCTTCTTAGAGCATCTATATCATAGATCAAACTACCACATCATTACTGTATTTCAGTCATTTTCTGATTATCCGACATGCTCACATCCACAATCACACTTACACTTACAGACTGTCTAATATGAATTGAACTAACCTTTAGCTGATAAGCTTGAGTTGAGAGAAAAACGGCGAACACAATAGCCAAGCTGATGAACACTGACTGCATTCCTATAGACAAAAGAATAAATGAAACAAAATTTCAGGAATAAGCGTGTTTTAAGGATGAGGTGGGTGTGTTCTTCAGCACACCAAGTACAATGAGCTCGAATGTGGGCGGAGTCAATTGAGTTGGTTGGGGTGTATAAGCAGCAAGAAGTAACAAGAGAAAAGAGAATGAAAGAGAAAGAGAGACTACAGAGTGAGAGGTTGGGCTTCAAAAAGTGAGTGTTAGGATGAAGATGAAAAGGAGGGACGGGAAAAAAGAAAGATAAGACAAGCTATATGACGGTAGGATGAATGGCAACAACCGTTCTCACATGGCCAAACACATAAGTAAGTAAGCTGATGACAGTGACGTAAAGAGCATGTGAGGAATTAAGCTGATGAAAGATAGAAAAAAAGGAATTAGCATAACTAATAAATAGTAAATGATAAATATATTTTGAAGATAGAATGATGGCTTCGGATAACTTGCAGCAGAACAAGGAATGTAAATGTTAGTCAGAGTAATGGAGGAAGAAAAATAAAATGCCATTTTTGTACTCGAAAAAAAAAAAACATAAAAAGAAGATGAAGTTGAGGAAAGAAAAATATGCTTTGAAATGAACACATTCCAATGAAGCATCTGATTTCAGAAGGGCATTCTCTTTTCTTAACACAAGCTTACGATAAAAAGGACAGATAGAGTTGAGAACATACAGAGTCCGTCTGAACGAGGACGTTGTTACTCTATGGCAGCGATAGCTCTACTCTCAAATTACAGATGTTCCATTCCTATTCCAAAAAAGGAAATTCTCATAATAGCCAATTGAATATTGAAATAATAAAAAAGAATATTTGAAGATGTGAAAGGTTTTTATCCTCTTCTTACCACAAGTACTATCATTCGCCTCCAGAAGAACTTAGTTTGCCGAAGTAAATCGTTTTGAGCAAAAATAAGCTCAAAGATGAAGCTGAAGATGAAGTGAGAGATTGTGACGAAGTAGCCTAATGTAATTGAGCATGAAAAGAATTTTCGTTTTTGTTGTACAAAAGAGTTGCATCTGACTGACGCTGACGAAGAAAGCTTATAATCTGCCTTTTGTTTTCGAGTTTATAAGGATTATGGATTACCTGTCAACACTTATTAAGCTAACATACAGGTAACTATGCGAGTAAAACATTCATTTGCATTTGCAATTTATTTTTTTTGTCCTCTATTGCTCTCTCTCTCATTCTATCTCTCTCTGTATCTATCTATCTCTATCTCTCTCCCTATATCTCTGTATAGCTCTTGCCTTCAGTCCTTCTTACATCACTCCCTAACTCTCTTTCTCCGGCTCATACCGGATTCAGTTCCGATTTTTAGGACGTTTTATCAAAAATTTTGAAAAATAATTTTTAAATTCGAATTTATAAATCTTATGAATAATGCATTCGAGAGCTGATTGCTTCAAAAGATAATTCGGATTTCTAATTATTTATGATCAAATAATTTATTTTAAAGTTTATGGCCTTTACCTCCTTCCCATGGCTCGCATTTCTTATAAGGAAATAAGGAGAGAGAGAGAGAATACCGAATTGAATAGCTCTGTTATAAATCTTCATCAACACACCGATTTATTCTTAAATTCAAAGTCAAATATGCAAAATGATTATTTTTGTTTCTGTATATCTCAACCCTCTCTCTCTCTTTCTCCTTCATTCACTTACTCTCTATGATATCAAAAGAGAGAGAGAGAGAGAGATAGAGAGATAGATATCCTGAGAAATAGTTCAATAACATATGAATAATGATGATCAGTGATTAGGCAGTTAATGATAAACAAAGTCATTTGAAACTCTTTCTCCCTCTATATATCTCTCTCTATCTCTCCAAATGAAGCTTTTATTCAAACAACTTTTTTCTTCTTTTTTTTTTTCCTTTTTTTTTTGTTCCAAAAAGAGATTTGAGGTTCCAAAAACAATTGTGTGCAAACTGAAAAGTTTCAAAAAGAAAGAAGACGAACTTCAATGAAATCCCTTCTGAGAATGCCTCAAGTTACAGAAAATAGTCGTCAGTGGCACAAATAAGGATTTATATGGAAAGAATAAAGTAAATAAATATTATTTCTTTTTATAATACAGAAAAACAGGTTCATTCACATCCATATTTCCAAAGCAGTCAAGGCAGGAGGTCGAGGGAAATACATAATTTGATTTCTTTTTTTTTCTTATATATATAGTTCCATGTTTTCTTTTTTTTTGACACTTTCATATCAAATTGTAAGAAATCAGATGGAAGTAAAGGAAATAGAAAAGCTGCTGTCTCTCTCACATGCTCTATGCTCACGAATAGAGAGAGAGAGAGAGAGAGATATGAAGAATTCCTGAAAAGGAGAGAAACAGGAATAAAGGAAACAATTCGTTTGCTGGATAACACAACCGTTCCTTGCGCATGCAAATGCTCAAAATGAAATGAGCTGCTGCATGTTGGCGCCAAAAACGTTTTGTTTATTTATTTCAAAAATTCAAATTATATAGATGACAGTATGAAAAATGAATTAGAAAGCGATCTTTGTAAAACGCTTATCCAATAGTGTAGCTGTGATAGTAGAAGCCTAGGAAGGAACAGAATGAGGAGGGAGAACAAAAAAAAAAAAGTTTTCATTGCTATTACGATTGAATTGGGAAACATCTGTGTGTGGCCTAATATGGATGCAAAGCAACAATCTTTTTATTTGAAAACTTTTGTCATTGCAAATACAAGTAACAAATACTTTGTAAACAGACGAATTAAACGATACTACGTTGTGTATATTCTATCTTAAACGAAGCTTATTATGATTATTCTTATTCTGAATATCACATATCGTCATGAAAAATACTCAAAAACGACGAGTATGATGTCGTCATGCTCATACAAGCTATACGTTGTTCGTCTTACATGTTATAAAGCCGAAAACAAAAATGTATTAAAAGCCTTCTAATGATCATGAACATTGATGATGATAAGAATGACCAAAAAAGGATTTTGCTATCCTTTACATCCTCATTCATTCTTCTACTTCTCATTCCTTTAGAATTCTCATATACGATTCGCTTCAATTAAGCTGAATTAAAAATGTTCCTCGTTATCATCTCCCTCCCTCCCTCCTTCCTTCCTTCTTCCATCACAACGTATTCATTTGCACTGCGCATTACGGAACAAGAAGGGAGTATGGTACGGTCACCTCTCTCTCTCTCTCTCCCTCTCTCTCTCTCTCTGTAGCCTGTTCGAGGTAGAGATTACATGGAGCAAAGCTGAAGAAGGACAAACGAATTAATTTGTTTAATTATATAAAAGTATGATTTTCATTTATTTATTTTGGTTATGTACACCCACAATGTATATGAGTTGCTTGAATCAGTTGTTTTTCTTTAAAAGAAATAACGTTTGGCGAACAATGAAAAAAGTCATTGTGACTTTGGCAGTCGTCAACTCACACACATGACCATGCAAAGTATACAGAGAGAGGAGAGCTCTCAAGTTATATGGAATAGAGGGAGTATCGAGGGAAAGGGGGGGGGAGGAATGGGGAATTGGTTGAGGGCAATTTGCCAAAATAATTCTGTACTTTATGTATATTTTCATTCCAAATATTGTGTGGATTTATATGGAAGAAAAAAAATAAAAGATTATATGTGTTATTGGAGAGAATTTTCATTTTATTCATTGAAATCTCAACGTCTTTCAAAATACACACAAAGGACTCCCTTGATAATTAATTTTTTCCTGATTCTCAACCATTTCGTTGTAGAGAGAGAGAGAGAGAGAGTGGATGATGGAGGGAATGAGAGAGAACAAAGAGAGAGAGAGAGAGACAAGAAGAAAAAAAAAGTTTTTTTTCTATTTCATTTTTCACTCTCTCTCTCTCTCTCTCTCTCTCTATCTCTTGCAACCCCCGAGCAAGAAGAGATTGTCTATGCGTTGGAAGGAGTGATGACAAGTCAGCAACAAGCATTAACATAATTAATAAATAATATAATTATATCAATTTAAATTGGATAAATGACATGAAGCTTTTAAGTAACTGCTACTGCTTTGTGGATTAGTCAGTCGTTGATGGTTAGTGAAAGCAGAGCAGGCAGTCCATCTGACCTTTAACGGCTATCGAACTGTTGCGTACTTTTCAAATCATTTGTTGTTTTGTTTTTTCTTCATTCATTCAGATGTAACATGTAAGTTTTTCAACCTTTTTTTCTCTTCTTTCTCACAATTTTTGAACTTTTGGACAACAAAGAGGTGGAGGAATAATTGAAATTTTGAAGATTTTTGCTTTGAAAATGACCAAAAATAGTATGAAATTCAACAAATTCATGTGTGCAAATATGACTTTAAGGACACATTTGATAGTAAATAATACATAATTCTCAAAAAGTTTGTGAAAAATTGCAAAAAAAGGCGGAGAGGGAAGGATGAAGAGATGAGATGATGAGGTAGGTGATGGAAGAGACGGACGTGTGAATGTGACTGTGTGTATGTGTGGTGGGTTTCGATCTTCAAGAAGGACATACATATAATGACTTCTATTACATATGTAAATGATTATAAAAATATTATTAAAATAATTATTTTTGGATGTCTCATCTCTGGTTATAGTCTATCATCTTATCTCTAGAAAGGTAACACAAGGAAAATAGAGAAGAAGGTGAACGGATAGCAAAAGCCCAACTCAAATTAGTGCAGATGTTGCGTGTGAAGATGGAGCGGAGAGGATGGCGACGAACAAGAACAAGAACAAGAAGAAGAAGAGGAAAAAAACTTTTTTTTTTCTTCTACTTCTTTCTCTTCGCTTTTATTAAAACTTGTAAAGCTTGAAGAGAATGAAGCAAATAAGTGCTTTACTTCCTTTTTTGGAAGAAATATTCTTTTGGAAGATAAAAGAGATATGAATGAGAAGACAGGGAACCATTTTGTGTGCTGTGTAGAGATTTGGTTTGAACAAAGAAGGCGAGACAACTGATGATGTGTTGGATGAGAAATAAACAAAAAAATTTAGGAAATTGTCATGTTTTGTTTGATTTCTAGCTGAAAGAGAGTGAGCTGATGAGACCTTTACGATTATTATGAACAAGAACCATCTATCGTTTTCATTTTTCAGACGATTTGTGTCTTCAGAAGCTCTCTGACAAGCCTTGTGTGTATAAGCTAGAAGAAAAGACTTGTTCATCATTGTCATCTTCTCATGTTGCTTGGTGAGGAAGAACGAGAAGAAGAAAAAAGAAGATAACAGGAAGAATTTAGAATAAAGAGAGGGAAAGAATGAGAAAGATAGATGATGAGAGAAAGAAAGAGAGAGAGGGATTGAAAGAGAGGGAAGATGAGCACAGGCAACTTTGTGTTAGAGGGGGGGATTGTGTGAACACACAGAATGACATACTGTCTACACGGACTCTATTACTGTAGAGAGAGGACAGACACAGCTTCTCTCCTAGATGATAGAGGTGAAACATAAAGAAATTCTTTAAGAACTCGACAAGAAGATTATGAGAGTCAAAAGATACAAAGAGTGCAGGAAGAAGAGAAATAGAATAAAAAGAATTTCGACGACGACCATTAGAAACGGTAAGACCGTTGTCATCTGTCTTCAAACTAAGAGAAGAAGCTTCGTCTTTCGTTTAGTTGAGCATTTTTGATAAAAAAAAATTCCAAAATTCACTATTCACATTTTTATATTATTTTTTTTAATGAATAGCTTCCGTTTATGATAAACATAGAGATTATCTTGTTGAACAGCTTAATCATATTTGAGATGAAGCTTAGAGCTTCTGTCCAAATAGCTCAGCATTACTGGTCATTTGGGCATTTTCCTCTTCTACATCGCTCAATCATTTTTAGAAACCATCAACCATAGAAAAAATTTTTTTTCCTCCTCTTTCTCTTTATCCTCTTCTTCATCTATTTTCACAACATTTTTCTTCTTTTTTATGTTTCTCACAAACCCAGCAGCGTCATCATCTTCGGGCTTTTAGAGGAAGCCATTTATGCCCATAATTTTCAACTAAACATTCGTCATTCATATCTGAGAAGCTCAAAAATACTATCGCTCAGTAGTTTTTTTTTCGTTTTAACAACTAACAGCTGAGGCTGACACGCCTTTATACAGCAAAAAACATTTTTACATGCTTTTTGATATTAATAAGACGATATAAGGAAATTATGTGGAAGCTGAAAAACATGACAACCGCTCAACAACGTCTAACAACTAGAAATGAGAACTTCAATACTAACCTATAACAAGAAATTTGCATAAACTCATTTTTCACGTCATACACGTGCTTATCATTCAATGAATGATGAATACAAAGGCTGTCTGTACAACCAACTGAACACTTTCAGCTGAGGGTTAATTCAATCCAGAATGAGTGCGCAGATTGGAGCCATCAACTCCGTGAATGCGCTCATCTCAAAGGTCTTTCAACAGCCCAAAGGAGATTTAGTAAGTTCTATAGCATTTCTGTTACACACATACTCCTGACGTGAGAGTAAATCGACGAGAAAAAGCAAAAAAAAGTTTAAAACAATCAAAAAGCTTGCTCCTGTAATTACTTTTGCCAACTAACTAACTCGGTGTGTAATTCTTGTGAACAAAAGTACGAGCGTATCATCTTTTTTTTTGTAATCAGAATTGTTTCTTCTTCAAACATATTGAAATAACAAAGTTCTTCTTATTATCTTCAACCTTAGTGCACAATTGTATTGTCAAAGAGCAAGTTGTGAAGAGAATCGTAGAAATAGCGAGAAGAGACAGAAGAACATTGTCAAACACAAGAAACAAGATAAGTTGGAGATGGTCGAAAGGCACCCAAAGCTCACGACAATCGCCAGATCAACGCAAAAGAGAAATGAAGAAAGAAATAATTATTTTCTTTATATCAATTTTTAAGAAGTAATTGATTTTTGTACGAGTGTGAGAAGAAAGAATTCGTAAAAGCACTCAGTATCGCTTCAGCAATGCTATTGCTTCTGAGAATGGGCTGAGCGGTTAAGTACTCGTAGATGAAGCTTTATGCGAAGAACATCTAGATACAAACATAACTTTCAGGCGGATCGGTTGAACAGTAGAATCACAGTATGTATTCTCTCTGTATCTGCAGGTCTTCTACTTTCTGCCCATTTTATGGGTGAACCTATCAACTGCTGGACACCGGCACAATTCACCAAAGATTGGTCAGTTTCTTAAGAAAAAAGTGATTCTAATAAAAATGTTTAATTTAGGTCAACTTTTGTGAATCAATACTGCTATGTTCACGGAACTTACTTTGTACCTTTGGATCAGGAGTTATCTTTTGATGAAGAAGCACGACAACGAATCAAGATCACCTATTACCAATGGGTAAGATAGATTATCAAGGAGACTATCACTGTTCAGCTTATAGGTTCCTTACATCTTAGCTCTCCAAGCTTTCCTTTTCTACATTCCTCGCTTTATTTGGAAAACAATGATGAGTGGAAGTGGTAAGATTACTCTTCTTTTCTAGACATGACTCATCGCTTTGTTTGTTTCAGGTTATGATTTGGCTGGAGCTATTCGATACGTTGACCAATTCTGGAGCTCTATAAGGAACACTGGAGATGGGTTCAAATGTCTGTCACCTTTCAAATGTTCATGAAAATCTGTTCCAATTTAGACCGTATTGCCCTGTTTGAATCACAACCTTCATTGTACATCTGGGATGGCTTGAGATTGGCTCGTAAAAAGAACAGCGAAGATATGGCTCTTTATTACATAGTTTCGACAGTCTTGCAGAGTTTGAATGCATGGATTCAGGTTAGTTGATTGATCCTTGAGTGTTGATTAGTGATTGGTTCAGTGGTTCTGGCTCAACAGCTTGCTCAACTCTCCTCTTTATTCATTCTGGGGACCATCTGTAATCTCTGATCTAATTTCGGGACAAGACTGGCAGGTAAGAAACTCTTCAAGTATTGATTTTCTCAAAGTTATTATGCGGTTTTATAAAAATAACTTGACTGGGTCAAGGTTAGTTAGTGCATAACAAGAGTAACTTTTCGTTTAAAAATGAAATGTTTATTAATCCTCTCCCGAAATGGTTTCATTCGATCGAACTTATAGACCACCGGTCATTTCCCTCGTATTACCCACTGCGACTTCAATCGTCGTCGACCTGCCGGCGTACAGGTGAACAGAATTCTTGAAAATTTTTCAAAAAAACTTGAAATTGTTGCAGCAAGATACAGTACTATGCGTACTTACGATGAATATTTATTACGAAAAACTTTTCCTTTTCTTATGGTTCTGGCTACTGTTCGTAGCTGTGATTTCCACTTCCAACAGTCTTTACTGGGTTATGTGCTTATGTAATCCAAGAAAGGTTTGATATTCGAAAGTCCTAAGATAGGGCTTCATGTCTCTCTTCATACATCTTCCTGTCGCTTAAGATGAGAGGAACTGTCGACAACTATCTGCAATTGGATGGCCGAAGCAAGACGACAAGAGAACATTTCTACAAAGTTTTGGGCAAGGATGGTCTCTTCGTTTTACATCAAATAACTTTGAATCTTGGTGATATCCCTACAAGGTAAAGATGAGTCAACTCTTAGACATTAACAACTCATTTTCAGTTATCTGACCATCGCCATGAGAAACTGTTGTCCTGACATGATCGAGAACTCTGTTGATTGCGAAAAGCAGACTCTTCTGCCAACCGAGAAGGCTTAAGAACTTTGTTGAATTTAACTGATTTCTACTTGTTTATTCTTATTCCTTTCCTCTCTCTGGTGATAGAACTGTCATTCTTGATCTGAAAGAGTTATCCGACACATATCGATGATTTCACTTATCTGGCTTATAGCCGCATAGTTTCAAAAATTAGAATTCGGTCGCTCCGAATTTAGATTTATTAGAACTTCACTTACTTCTTCTGAAGAAAAGAAGAAGGAACCCTCCTCACTATAACAGCACACGGTACAATACTTTCCTGAATTGTCTGAATAAACTTTTTCCATTGTCGTCAATGCTTTATATATTCTGAAGTTATGCCAACCTAATTTCTAAATGAAGGTGTCCCTGGAGAAAGTTTTGGAAATGAAAAGGTTGAAGGTCAGCAAATCGAATTTTGAAGTGAAAGACCAGATTTAGATATCTTGAAGATGACTGCGATTTATGGTTTGGCTAAACAAAATACATACACATGTTCTTATTAGGTGGCCACCCTACACGAACTTCGGAACGGCACATGGGTACATAATTGGATGAATCTGGTTTTTCAGGCTAAAACTTCAACCGGATTTGTGAACTATCATGTCTTCCAATTTATGTATGTTGAACTAATATTTGTATTTTCGTTATATGCGAGCTAAATGGATAAAAAATGCTGTTATTTTGGTTAGAATTCATAGCATCACGAATGTTTGATGCTTTAATCTTCTCTTATCCGCTCCTTTCTATTTTCGATTCAGACAGGCATCTTCGTCTGTTGAGAAGGACGACTTCTTGTATTTCTCTTTCATACCTATATAAACGCTTCACTTATTTCCATATCTCGAATAATACAGCATAATATCACCCAAATGGGATCCTCAAGCTACTGAATGCATCCTCATTTTCGAACATCAATTGCCCATATCGCGGTCATCTACCTTCTAACTTAGCCAGAAGACCTAGCCTCAGCCATTCGCATAATATGTACGGACGAGGTGTTTCGAATCTTCTCAAAGGGGGCGGGCGTCCATCTCCCTTTCAATGTTCCTTGTGTTTCACACCCTTGTCTCCCTTCTACTATCTCATCGTCACAGTTCAATCTCATTCGGATCTCTAGCTTACCATCTCTCTCATTTTTTTTCTTAATTTACATTTCTTAGACTAACATCAATATGAAAAAAAAATGCAAAAATCATTTTAGGCTGGCCATGAGGATATTCTTGACATTATTTCTCATAAAAACGGTTTTATACTTCGCTGACGCTCAGAATTGCGATAGAGGTAGGTAATTGCTTGGCTAAACTACTTTGACGAGTTAAATGTAAACTTAATAATCCCGCACGTCTCACTCATTCCAATTTTCTTCTGTTTTTGTTTTCCATAATCTAATATACCAAGGGACTTCTCGAAGAAATGGCTGTAGTTGAATATTTTCGAATGAAATAGAAACAAAATCACACAAAACACAATCTTATCACATTCACATCTTACTCCGACATCCAAACACCATATACACCTGGTTCGTTTATGACCAAGAGTCACATGGAGCGCGGTTATGTTGTTCTCATAACAGTTCGTCTTTACCACATTTCACTTGTTTTTATTTTCGTTTCTCTCGAACGAGTCACATCTTTTCAAAAAATTTGATTTGAACTATTTTATAACTCTTAAGCTCAGATCAACCTACTTTTCAAATTGTAAAATTCACTTTTTCTTTTTTTTTCGCGAATTCTTTCTTCGTCACTGACAGAAATAACATTACCATTCATGGATACGATTAGAGTGAAAGCGGATTGTGCCTTACCTATCCTTCATCTGGTGACCGCCATTTCTCAAATTCAAAACAATCCTTTCTTTGAAATTCGCAATTCGGCGTGAGCGGAACTCATGAAATTAGCTAGTTATGCTGACCTAGGCTGTACAAACAAAATGTTTCTTCCATTCTAGTTCCATATCTCCTTTCGCTAGTTCCTTTCTTTAGGTTCGTAAGCTAGCGGCACGGTCAGCATTCCTCAAGAATCTCGTCAATCTTGTCCTTCTTAAACTTTCGTTTTTCATCGACTTCAAAATTATTGCCGCTAAACTCTAGTTGACCAGCCATAGATCCGGCAAATCGTTTAGTCCAATTCTAAAGAATCCGCGAAACTTTTAAAAATTTAAATTATTTTCATGTTTTATCTTGGTTAGAGTTGTTCGAGTCATTAGCGATTTGCATTGGTTCAACTTTCAGGATAGATTTTCTTTCAAAACAAATCTGTCCTCATCAAACAATGAACAATCCCTTTTCCAGATATTCTTGAAGATGTTTGCCCACAGCGGGAAGGCTTCGATGAAGATTGCGAACGGCATTGCCAAGCCAAATACCCATTGAGAATCGCTAGTGGTTGTCATTTAAGGAATTCAGGTGATTACATTCATGTTATTGTTTTCTTATCTTTCCCCTTTAGGAACACTACTTTCACTTTTCGGTATTCGGAGTTATCAGTGTAAATGTCAATTACCGATGCACTTCTGTGTGTCTACACAAGGCCTGAACCCTTTCCGTCAATCATTCTCGTTGGCAGCCATATCTACACATTCCAGACTAGTGAAGATACCGAACGAACAAATTGTTTGCGAACAGGTGGGAGTTTTCCAGACAATGATAACGATGTCTATATTTAGAGACGAACGAAACTCTCTTGTGACAATAACTTTGGCGTAGGACAATGCGATTGGATTAGATCAACAGGTGCCGATTGGTTCGAAGCAACTGAAAATGGGTTGGCCATCCCCATGATGCCGCATGAAAAGCCTAGTTTGTGTTTGATTAGTTTCTCTTTTTGGTTACCTTAATTCAGCTGCTAACTATTTGGTAGCAGTTGGTAGACAAGGTGTTCCAACGATTCATCTCTCAACATGCGATGGGCTCTGTTCCCAGGGCAGTGTAAATGTAACTCTCCGCATGTGGAAATCACCTTGGATTCAAGCTCACTTGTGCTTCAAGTAAATCATAATCACCTATACTCTTTACAAATAAAGTTATCAGAGAGCGCGAGAACCTCTTCTGTGCCCCAATGCAAGCTGCTAACGGGCAATGGACGAACGAAACCATTCCAAGAACAGACAACTTTCAAGTTGGGCTTTCTTTCCGAATTTACATGTTTCTTTTTCTCAGGTTTATTTCAAATTCACAAATGTTACCGAAGCGGATGCTGTAATGTTGGACGATGTCAAGATAGATTTCGTGCATTGTGCAAACGCAGAACCCGTTACTGTGACTACACCGTTACCTCAGCGCATCAATCGCTTAGTAACCCCAACGTTGATTAGTCATGAGCATCGAAGAATCTCTGGAGTTTCTTCACGATCATCAGTTAGTAATTGCGAAAAGTATTTTGTAACTGTAAAATCTTAGCTTGACGGGAATGGAATTGCACGTGTTCTATCCTCGCGTACCCATGAGACGACACACCCTGTAGAAACTGTACCAGTGAGAAATGGTGAACAATCAAGTGATACATTAGACACTTTGAAAAAACGTCTTTGTCTCCAAGGTTTGTGACAAATCTATTGTGTTTACCTTGATTATTTAGGAGAATGCACGACTATAACTCATCAAGCCTCTCATATTGTGCAACCTACTCAAGATCGTACTTGCGTTGGACGCGTTGGATTCATGAAATGCCAAGAGAAGTGTCGCGAGCAGTCGGGTTTGAGGTTAAGTTATTCATTAGTGAATGGTTTTTCTAATCCAAATTTTCAGTTCTAATTCCCGCTGTATAAGGCAAAAAGAATATCCATTCATTAAACGATGCATTTGTCAAGTACGGAGATCTCCAGCACGCAATGAAATTAATGTCATTACGCCAAAGAAAGAGGAACGATACACAAATAATAATAATATCCAAGATGACGTATCAAGTGTTGATGAGGAATATCCAACACTCCGTCCAATTAAGCTAACTCCCTCTCCGAAATTCGTTAATGAGGCTTCTACGCTCGCTCCCAAAAGGTTAGTCTGTCGATTTCTCTCTCTCTCTATCTATTTTTAATATTTTTCTAGAAGAAATCGAATTTTCCATGGAGAAAACGAGCAGAAAGCATCAGAAAACTTCATTAATGTGGTTTGTGGTCTGGACGGGGATAATACAGATTGCGACAAATCCTGTAAAGAGAAAGATCCACAGAGGTTACATTATATCTATTACATTGAGGTTAATCCTCGAAAATTACAGTTCTGGATCCTGCTCACTGGCTCGAGGTTTTCCTGATTGCATTTGTTCAACATGCTTCAGCTCGTTATGCAACTTTGAGAAAGACAACGGTTGCGAGTATGCTTTATATAATCCTTTTCATAATGATTATATGCTTGTTAAGGTGGACAGATTTACGTCTGATTAGCACACAATTCAATAACGTTAGTATAGCAGCTAAGAAAGACCAAGGTTGAGTTTGGAGATTTTGTCTTGTTTACTCTCTTGTTTGCGTTTAGCCAATCGCTATGGGCTTACAAGATTGCCACCTTTATCCTATTCAGGACTCATACGACGAGGTCAAATTGAAGGTAAATCCTTAAGCTGTTAATCCATATTTTGTTACATTCGCCAGGCCCTATTCATCTCTCTGTGGATGTGTACCCTTCACACGAGATTGATGTACGGATATGCGTCGATTCTTTCAACAAGTGAGTGTTTCACATATTTTCTTTCGATAGTTTTTAAGATGTCAATCACAAACTGTTGGGCCAGCGGCGTGGAACAGAATCTCCGCTAAAATAAAAGTGGCCAGAACGGAAAAGGTTTTCTTTCATTTTTTTCAACTGTCATCAATGTTGTTTAAGATTTTCCTCCTCTTCCACAACAAGTTGAATGATGTAGCAAAAACGATTGCATTAGACAATATATCCCTTCAAAATGGTAAATGCTGACGCGTCTTTATGTGAATCATTCAAAAATATCATGAAATACGGGCAAATTTGTAATGACTCGGTACGATACATAAGTCGATATCAGGAATTTATATTATTTATTCAACAACAATCTTTCAACTTAACAGGAAGTAAATCAACAATATCGTGTTAATCTGAGTTATCTTGAGTTAATTCAGTAGTTATAACCATTTGAGATTTATGAATGTATACCAGTATTGTAACCTATAATATTTCTTCTGATTCTGTGATACTTCGTATTCATCTTACCAAACCGTTCGACGGAACCACATACGGCTTATCGAACATAAAAGCTGCGACTTTCTCGTTTTTGTTTGAATAATCACCTGCATGGAACCAGTAAACTATGCCATCGACTTTTTCTCCCGGGGTTGAATTGACCTTAAGAACACATAGAGTCTGAATAATTAATGAGAATATACCGTAACAACATTCATGTAACATTCAAGGTGAGTTGTAATCGTATCTACCCGTATTTTGAACACATCAATTTCCTCTGACATGGGTATGTGTGGAGTACCATCTGAAGAGAAGTATATAGTTTTTAAATTATTTTAGAATTGTGTGTATAACACTCTATTTCATACTTCCGTTCTGATAATCATAAAATTTAATAAGAATGCAACCATTCTGAACTGAATTAGGTGGAAAGCGCGAATGCAACCATTCTGAGCATAACAGCTAGATACTTGGCAACCAATTTTATCACCTAGCGAGATTAAAATATCTTTCGTATTATTCAAATCCCATCATGGCTTTGTTGCGCCTTTGAAGGCGCGAGTAATAGGCAACGCTCAGACGTTTGGCAGCATGTAATTGGAGCCAACTAAAATCCATTTCATGCCGTTTCGTCATAATTTAGGAAGTGTTAATCCGTATTCTCATTTCCTACCTAGTTTTATATCGCGATATTCCAATAGAGTCCAATTCGTTAATTCTCTCAAATTAACATTCATGTGTGCAGTTTCATCCGGACGACAACGCCTAGTTAAATACTCTGACTGAAATAGGTAACCTCTGCATTCTATGTGTTCTATAACTAAGATATAAGCTTGGGATTTTAAGTAGTAGACAAACCGGGGAAGGTTCGATGTATAACCATTAATTGGCGATCTAACACTGTTCTTACTTCTTCTAATAAGTCACTATTCAAACTGCCATCTATACGTGCAGGCCACAAGATGAATCTATCACATGGCCCCACTAAAATGTTGAAAGCCGTTTGATCAATGTTGCTCGCCTTCATCTCTTACTGTTACTTGTTATTCCATTCTGTCCTTTGCAAAGAACACCAATATTTGGTAGATCTTTATGAGATAATGTGATAAATTCTGGCAACCTAATCGATCGATTATAGCTGAATATTTTATATCTTAAGCATACTCTAAGAATGGCCTTGGGAAGGGTATTGAAGATGGAGCGTAGCCAACTTTGTTTATATTAGTTGGTAAATTCCTTATAGCTTCCTCTGAGAATCCTACACTCCTCAATGTTTCTATTTTCTCTTGCTCGATCACTACATATCTACTAGTTTCATTCAGTTTTTCGGTTTCCTAGAACTACTTAATATACTTGTCGATAATGAAAAATGAAACCGTAGCGCTGTTCCAGATAGACAATCTATTTTTTTTCAAAGAGTAAGATAGATTCATTTGCTGTCCCTCATGTACTCTCTCTTGTTCTGATAATATGAAAATTCCATGCTCCCAGAATGTTTCTTTTTGAGTACTAATCTCAACATCATCAGCTAGTACAGCTCTGGAATGCCAACTTTGGTGAAAGATCGAGCCAGTTACGTAATCACCTGAAGTGCGCTACAACAATACAAGCAGTACCTTCAGTTTTGACTTCCACTGTGATAGTATTTTTTACACCAATCATGTATCTAATTGAAATTCTTATGCCCGAACCTTAATTCATCTTACTTGGAGAGATCTTCTATATCATCAAGATGCACGGTTATCAACTTAACAGGTGCAGAAAGTGGTTTGGCATCTGGGTATTGTTCGATTTTGCAGCACCAGTAAGGCTCAGAAGTAGCTTGAAGAAATTGTCAATGATTTTTACTGCTCAAAACCTTACTATCTTGTTTTGGGTAAGTATATTGAGATCTATTTTCCATGAAATAATGTGTGTTCAGTATTTCTATGCTTTCGTAGACGGTGATATACAGCTCGACCTGTAAAGCTATTTGTCTTACGTCAACTTTACACTATAAGGCGCGAACCAATGACGGTGAAAATCTACAATTCGGTTGTACTAGCCGCTGGTGAGCATCGTAAAATGTGGGAATGATCCCTTCGCCAAAAGCACAACAATCCATTATCTCGGCGATGACAACGCTCGCCTAAAAAATCAGAACCTTTTTGCAATTAATTGCTTTATGAACTTTTTCTTCTGGTTTAGGTTGAAAGTCAGTTGAGTGCATATTTTTCGCTATGATTTCGCCTGTGATTCTTTCAGTGTTATCAAGAATGACCGATTGAGATATAGAGAAAAGATTAGGATTGCTTTCAATTGCGATAACTTTGGAACATTTCCTGAAATACATGCTATCGCTTTCCCAATTCTTCGAACTAACTTGGCAGCCAAGACTGATAAGAATCCTGATCCGCTACCGATGTCAAGTACTACGTCTTCAGGTGTGATTATTTTTTCAATCGCTTGTGCATACTTTGAATTTCTAACCTAGCATGAGGTTATAGAGCTTTAACGAGTCGGAAGTACTTACATGATCATTTAACATAATCATATGCCAAACTGGGAAGATGTGTGAACGTAAATTACATTCGAAAACTTTGATAGCAATCTTCTCGAGTGGTGTATGGTCAATACTGTTCAGCACAAAGCTTATAATATTCAAAGCTCCGAGAAGATCATCTAATTAATGGAGATCATTTTTGCTTGAACGGAAACCTTTGATATACCTCTTGAATATTTGAAAAATGCACAGAAAAAATATACTTGACAACATTGAGGAAAAATTTCTACAGCGAATTCACAAACATCTTCTTTATTATTCAAACTAGAAAACAACATTAGCCCTAGAATTATGCAAAAAAAATGCTTTCGCGACTCACTTTTCAACATATGCTTTGAAACACTCCAGAAATTCATTGACAAACTTCATTTTCTTACTATCCTCTAACGGTTTCAACACCATGAGATAATTGAAAACCGCATTCCTAGTATCACCCGAAGTCATACACGTTCGAGCAGATGAAATCGAAAATTTCATGATTTCTGAAAACTTAATGCTAAATTACAAACCTTCAGGCAAAAGCGCAAAGATCAGGAGAGAAAAAAACAACGAGAAATGCGGAATAAACGGTGAAACCCACCGGTCTGTCACAACATCTCGGAAAGGATGGCTGCTTGCCAATAGCGTTTGTTTGGCTGCGACGCATTTGAACGCGTCGCGGTCGGGGCTGTGCGTGCTATTTAGACAACTTTGCAAATCAATTTATTAGCACCCTTGTAATCTTTTTATTTTTCAACATTAACATTCAAATTTGTTATCAAATTTCAAAAACTTTTCATTGACTTATGCTAATTAATTAGAATATTCACTGCTTTTCCATATTCATTAAGACGCCACTTCTTACTGTCTTCTGTGCGGCTGCTGTGCTACTGTGTTCTCAGCTTTTACTTTTTTCGTTCTCTTATACACAGTGTTATCTTTTTTATTTGGTATTCTCTAATGTAATCGTCTAATATGGACGTTTCAGATTGTCTCAGTTCTTTTACTTACATTTTTTCAAACTGTAAAATTAGTTCATAACTTTGTATTTTACAACGGAAGGTTTTTTTTCATAATGACCTAGTCAGGTCAGATAACCATGAACTTCTCAGAGTAAGCTTTTCCTCCGGTATGTGCATTCAACTCATTTTTTTTCCAGAGAGGATGGGGTTGATGATTATTTCAACTTAAATTTAGATTTTGGTATCGAAGATCACCACAGTCCATTAGATCATGATCATTCGTTAGAGGTATGTCTAGTTCCGGCCTTTTCTCAATTTTATTCATTATACTTCTGTCATTCATTGTTATGTTGTCTGTTAAGGTACCAGTGCGAGAACCATCCCCTGCATCACCGTCACGAGATTTAGACGATGATGGGCTCTTTCGTTTTGGCGATCCATCACTTTCCATACCGATGCATGAAGTAAGTCTTGCTATCTTTGATTTTTTTTATTCTGTTTCTTGTTAGTTTTCGCAAAATGAGAACTCTCGTTTATCTCCTCCTCTACCATATCATCAGCATAATCAAAATTATGGAACTAATGACGTCCAGATGGAGGTAAAAGCTTAATTCGTTTCCCATCTAGCTTAATCCTTTTCAGGTGCCATACAACTCTTTTGAGCAACCTGTTGCTGTCATAAATGGGGAGTATGCGCTTAGTGCCTTGGATTCTCCGCTTAACATGTCTGAGAATCAAGCCTATTACGTAAGCAAATCTTTCAAAAAAATTTCAGTTTACATTTCGATTGTAGCAAGAGCAGCCATCGACGTCCCAACAGCCTCCGCCAATGCAGCAACACCAGCATCAACAACAGCATCAACACCAACAACAACATCAGCAACAACACCAACAAACACAGCAGCATGCAGCGCCTTTACCGCAACAACGACAGATGCAGGTTCAGTCCCGTGTACAGAGAGTAATTAGTAATCCGGGATCAACTGCTCAGCAAAGGGCGGCTGCGGGTACCCAACCAACGGTAATTTGAAACAGTTTTAATGAGTCGTACGGTTTTTTTTCTAGAAATATCCAGCTTCTCGACAGAGAGGTCAGTCTAAGACTAATGGACGGAAAAAGAACTCTAGTGGTTTGTGTCTTTTTGAGTAATTTGACCTTATACTATGATGATATAGGTAGCGTTGGTGAAGTTTTAAATACTGCTCATAAGATGAATGCTGGTAATGGAGGACAGGCTTCCGCAGTGCGGTTAAGTCCAGAACAGATGCAACAGGTAATCAAATCTTTTTTTTCATCATAATTGCTCTTAATTAGTTGGCTATGAGTGCGAGTGAAATATCTGCACTGGAGTCGGAGCAGTCTTTAGGAGTTGATCACAGCGAGCGAATTAAAGAACTGAAACAACAACAAGCTCAAATCTTCCTTGAAGCTTTATCTTCGCAGTCATCTTCGCAGTAAGTGTTTTTTTTCTTCCTCACATATTATTGCTATTTTCACAGAGTTACTGGTGAAGTGATAAATCAACTTCATCAAATTAAGCAGCAGCCTCAGTTAGCTGCGACTCGCCCTCCTCCGAGGCGGCAGATGCACTTACAACACATGGATACTGCTCCTGAATCTCCACAATATGAGCCACAACTCTACTTAACATCGCAGGCTAATGTTAGCCAGCCTCAAGTGTAAGAAAGTTTTTTTTTATGATCAATCGTACCATTTTCACTTTTAAGCCACTCTAGTTATAATGACTACAATATGATGCCCGCTCCGCCGGTGCAACATGTTACTCAACAACGCCCAGTGTTCCGAGTGACATCGGTAAGTTTTTTCGTTCTTGCTGATATAATCTGTTTTTGTTAAAGGGTGTACAAGTTACATATCCGTCTTCTCAGGCTCAGCAATCTTATGTTCAGCAGCCTGTATATTCTGAGCCGGGAGGACCAACTGTCGGTCAAGTCATTAAACAGCAACATGTAAGTTCTAATTTTTGAAACGTGAATAACTTTTTTTTCAGTTGAGAGTAGCCCCTCCAAAAAATACATCTAGACAAATTTTTGTTCAAAATGTTGCTCCTCCACCAACTATAGTTCATCCTCCTCAGCCACCACCACAGGTTTGTTATTCACATCCATATACTCGTTATTCTCTTGATTCAGCAAGCTATACCTGTCTTCCGGCAACCGCCTAGGCCTACTTCTGAGCAGACCAGGCAAATGATGGAGGATAGAAAGTTGCAACGATTACACAGGTTTGTAATTTTGTCGTATTCTCGGCTGATGTTACGACTTTAGGCTGCGTGAAGCGTTTGATAATCATCAGCAAACTATAACTGCCCCGAGAACTGAAGAGCCGTTCCAAGACATGCTAGATGTTCTAATGCGTTTACTTCCTTACCACCAAGGTTCTGAACCTGATATTCGAGAAGATGAACTAGAACAATGTAAGTATTGATTAGGACGAGTTTTTGTTATTTTTCACTTTTTCAAGTCGATTGTAATTATCTGAGAAAGATGATCAATCTAGCAGAGTCCAAAAAACGGATGGAGAAGAAGCTGCGCTCAGTACTTTTTAATGAAGCAATGGTATTCATACAGTATATTAAACCTTTTCTTCAACACCTATTTTACAGCGGAAACAAGAGAGAGAAGATGGAAATCTCCTCCTCTTTTTAGATTTAGAATACGAGCGGAGGAAGTTGGACGATGAAAAGAAATCATTGAAAACTGAGCCTTCTTCTCTCGATAGTTTTGTTCACTCTTCATCTCTCATTCCCTCACTTCGTGATGTCACTTTACCTAGTCTTGAAAAGAAAAGTTATCCACCTCTTAAGGTAAGAGAAAAAGTTTTGAAATACTCTTATAACTATATATTTCTTCTCACAGATGCACTTTGATTATCATCCATTTTGTGATATACCTTCTGTTTCCTCTCCTCCTAAGTCACCTTTGAAATCTCCTTCGCCCTCTAAGTCTTCTGCTAGTAGTATTAGGTGAGTATTCTTCAATTATTCTCGTTCTTATATTTTTTTCCATACAGAGACGTATCCCCTGTAAAATCTCCTGTAGCTTCCACTAGTCGCGCTGTGTTTAAAACATGTGTTCTCTCCGAAGATGATTCTCCCCAGATTACTATTAAACCTCCCCGTTCAAAACATCTAAATGATCATAGGTAAGAGCCAAGTTGAGGAATTTTCAATAACCTAGTTTTCAGAATTAATCATGTGATAGACAGGTTAATACCTGTCGGTTCATTGGAGCCTGTTGCCATACCGAGGGCTCCCAGTGTAACTGTCAAAAAAGAGCCTATGTCAATACCAAAAAATGGTGAATAATTTAATATGGCAATCTTTAGACCGAACTTTTTTTCAGTTCCATCACCCAATGTTTCTTGTTTAAAAATAAAACTCAAGCCACCACCACGCGCTCACCCTGAGTCTGAAGGGTCTTGTTCGCCGGAACTTGGTGTGGATGATATTGCACAACCGTCACCCTCTGTTGATCCTCCCAAGATTGACGGATCTAAACCGTTTACGGAACATAACGAAAAGAAACATACACCGTCTGATAATCCACTAGATCTGGTTTGTTTTCTATCAAATGTATATACTCACCTCATTGTTCAGAAAAAGGAGCATAGTTTCACAGTCTTGAGGCGGGTTGATAATAAACCGAAGGCAAAATCAGGGGCAGAGCCAGAACGAGAGATTTCTTTGAAGATTCCAAGGTTTAAGCCTATGGAGCCTAGACCGAAATCTACTGAGGCCGATAAAGCAGAACAGCAAAAGCGCTTACCTCCATTGAAGATCAGGATTCCAAGAAGTGCACCGCAAGACTCTAATAACGTTGAAAAAATGTAAGTGTATAAATATAATTCTCAATTCAACAGATTTTAGTGTTTTTAGTGATAAAGTAAATAAAAAGAAGAAAAAGAAGAAGAGGAAGCGAGAGTCTCTTGATTCTGATGAGGAGGAGCAGAAGAAAAAATGTGTTATTCCTACACCTGTATGTTTTTCATAGGAAATCGATATTTTAACTTTTGTTTCCAGGAGTTCGTTTTTGTACTAAAAGAAGGATTAAGAGCGAAGATCATTAGAGGACAATATTCTAGAGCAAGCTCCATAAGTCGTGAAGTAACTCCCGCTCTTCTAACACCGATTGCACCTCCTCCTGTTCCTTCTGTACAGGTACATTATTGTTAATATCAATTTCTAATTTTTGTTTCTAGTCTGCTCCTGAAGCATCGCATGTGCAACCTATTAAGCTGAAAATTCGTCTGGGTCCTAGACCAGTAGCTTCAGCTTCCACAACACCTGTGACGGTTCCAAAACCAAATATACAAATCACAAAGAATGGTCCTATAAGAATACCAACTGTTACTGTTACGACGCCGGTGCCTAATCACTCGCAGCTTGCTGCGCTCGATTTTTCAGGTAACTTGAGGTTGTATATGTTTTCCAATAATGAAGTTAAGATGATTCTGACACGGAAACTGACCGGCTAAGGTCATCTGCTGATGAAGCACTTCGAGGTTGTGGTATCAGTGGGCTGTCGGGGTTAACTTCTGTACCCAAGAGATCACTGTTGCCATGGTCGTCACAACCATAATTGGGTAATGTCTTTTCTAGTTTGCAGGCAAACTGTTGTGATTGCAAGTGTCAAAAATTGATGTACGCGAATCATTTTATGTCCATGTGCCAATTTTTTTAGCTCATTTTTTCCCTCCCGTTTTTCCGTTTTGAAATATCTACTCCAAAGCATATATTTATTGAATCTTGACCAAAGCTTGTATGTCAATATGTTGTTTCAAATAATCACGGTTAGTATATTCGCCTAATATAGTTGCTCAATCTTTCGTTGTTTATTTGGTGCTCGTTGTATCTCTAATAATCTAGCGGCACATCCGTCTTAAAACTCCTTCTTTGGACTATCGTTTGTGCTTCTTATTGCGATCTCCGCGGTTTGTGTTATCGCCATTATGCATAGATTGCCCTATATATGGTTAATTTTTTTAAATTTACTCTCCCTCACTCAATCTTTCATTCCCATTCTACTTTGGCAAGCAAGCAATTTCGTACTCTACATTCTCGTGTAATTATGCATTTTAGAACTTTTTTTCCGGTTAACTTAAGAGATTGAAAATATCTTCCCATTCCACTACCCTGGTGGTGTTTCTTAGTTTGTTATTATCAGAATCATAAGTGATCAGACTGATCAACAATGTAAGCTATTGTGATCTTTAGATTTATGTATGTATAAACAGATTTTTAATAATAATTCCATTTTTAAAACCTTCCATTTATTATTTGAACAACTTATTTATGTTTTAATAACAGAATTATCAACTTATTTTTTGTTAAATAGTTATTTTTCTACATAAAGTTTAATGTGAATTGTCGTTTTCACTTTTGTGCGTTCTGTCGCCAGTGCGCGCCGCGAATTGGGTCTCGCAACGAGAATCCTGAGCGTCCTTCACAGTAAACCGCTCTCATACTTCTTCGGGCTGTGATGGTATATTCCCAAATTTTTCCGTAAAATATTGTTGTTTTATATAATCTAGATAATTTTGTAACTATTTTGTTGATGTATTTTCTCAAGTTCTTGACGCATTCGGAGTTTTTCCATGGTTTCCCTTAGCAGAACATTTATAGAGAACCTGGGAAGACAAGATGGCTGATCAAAATGAGAGGACTTTTATGAAACAGCCCACAATCAACCTTAACAATAAGGATCGCATCCTCAGCGGAACCAAGAAGGTCGCACGTTACACACGTAATGTTGGTCTTGGATTCAAGACTCCCCGTGAGGTACTATTGTTAGCTTATATTATTTTTATTACGTGTTCGAGCTTTAGGCCATCGAGGGTACCTACATTGACAAGAAGTGCCCATTCACCGGTAATGTCGGAATCAGAGGACATATCTTGACTGGAGTTGTCCTTAAGAACAAGATGACCAGAACCATCATTGTGAGAAGAGATTACCTTCACTTCATCAAGAAGTACCGTCGTTTTGAGAAGAGACATAAGAACGTACCAGCCCATTGCTCTCCATGCTTCAGGTTTCTTGCAAATTATTTTTATGTTTTCCTTACTTTAACTATTTCAGAGATATTGCCCCTGGAGATATTGTAACTATCGGAGAATGCCGTCCCCTCTCTAAGACTGTCAGATTCAATGTCTTGAAGGTCAACAAATCTGCCAACTCCAAGAAGGGATTCTCCAAGTTTTAAATTACTTGTTGCTAAAGGCTAATTTCTCAGTCTCACGTTTTTGTTGCTATAACTGTAGAATGAAGTCTTTATAATTGTTTTAGCTTCTTTCATGTGTTCAGAAACTATTAGTTTCCTAAAGCTACAGTTATTCAAGCTACGGTTTTGTTTCAAAGTCTATTCCCTTTTTGTTCGTTATGATAGAAAGAGTTTTCTTACTAACTCGTCGCTGGCTCGTCAAAGTGTTGTGAAGCGTAGAGTCCCGTTGGAACATGCAAACATTCGGAATGTCTTATAGACGTTGAACCTTCTTTTCAAACGCTTTGTCTAATTCTTAGCTTTTCCCGATATTGGTCACTCGTGTCCTAATAATTTCCATATGTTTCGGTTTTTATTGCGTTCATTAATGCTGCTGCTATGAATACTCAAATGAAGCAGTTAAAACTTGATGAATTAGAGAGGAGATGTTGTTTCCTTATTGAGTTGAATGTTCGAGAAATTCCCCTATAACATGTAAAACATTGGTGAAACTAGGAGTTTGTTTATATTTCTGAATGCTTGGTGGTGCCAACCTACTTTCAACATTAGTAAATCTGTAAGTAGGTCGAGATTTATCAAAACAGGCGAAGAAATATTTGTCATACTTGAATCACTAATTAGTGACCAGTATTAATGTTGTGGAGTCTTAAAAGCAAACCCCTATCGAGTTCGTTAACTACTGTTCTTGTTCTGTTAATAATTGGAGAGAGGTTTACTCAACACATAAACATAACAACAACCCGCAGAATACGTTCTGGTCACATCTAGAGAGTACTCGTGTCATATTAATATGTCATTATTAGTAGCTCAGCATTTCCGGTTGAAGCGGTTTACTGTACAAAAAGAGGATATAAGCTTTTGAATGAAGCCATAATGTTCCATTGGCATAGAAACCAGTTGTATGTAGAGGGTAACTATAGGTTCAAAGTAACTAGAGAAAAAAAGAGAGAGTTCCTAGATCGATTCGCTCATATTTCGAGAACCCGTCAGGTTCACTCAATGGAACTTTTGAGACTACGGAAGCAATCTTCTGCTCTGAATTAAACCTAGCAAAACAAGAGATTCGGTAATGAAAGGAAAACTCTGAATACAAGAGGTTTTTTCCTATTTCGAAGAATTTTTTTTCCTCCAATCTCTGATAATCAAACAAATGGACTCCGTAGAGCTTTTTCGGATTGATAAACTTGACCATTTCCGTGAAAACGTGCCGTAATAGAGCTTTTGCTGGGTCAACAGCCGTGCCGCATTGGGTCTCAAGGTGGGCGTGGAGACGCGTGCGGTCGCGTTGCGTACGGCGTCGCTATAATATGTTCAAAGTGAAGACAATGCACCATGTTTTTCTAACTTTTTTTATTACAAGTTAAATTTGAATGTGAAAAAGTGTTCTTACAGATCTGAGTACATATAATCATCTAATGTCTCAGTTTGGAGGTGGCGGAAAGCCAGGAGCATGGGGGCGACCTACCGGAGGTTTGTGTAGAGTTTGTCAACCTCGTTTGATTTTTTTTGCTTCAAGGCGCTCAGCTCCCGAATTTTGGTGGGATTGGGGGAGTTGGTAGTTTTCCTATGATGGGCATGAGTGTACCTATGATAAATCAAGCAGCTTTTTCTCAAACAGGCATGATGGGGATGGGTGTGATGGGTGCAGTACCGCAACAGCAACAAAGAACTGCCGCTGCTGCTGCAGCATCTTCGGCCGCTGCATTGGTAAATACGTACTGAAGTTAGCTTATATATTGAATTTATGATAGAACACTTCAAATGCTGCTGGTAAAAACAGAACCTTCGTCGGTGTTGTCACTAAAATGCATGATAGTTATGGCTTCGTAGATGACGACGTATTCTTCCAGCATTCGTAATTTTTTGGTTCTATTTTAAAATTGGCTACTTATCTATACAGGGTCATAAGGGGATCACAGCCTCGAGTTGGAGACAAAGTGATGGTTGAGGCCAGCTACAATCCTCAAATGCCATTCAAGTGGAATGCTTATAGAATTCAACATCTCTCAGGATCATGTATGTTGAAGTTTCAGATTTCGCAAAAAGTGATGAAATAATTTAGCTACTAATGAGGCTCACAGTGGCACGCAGGCTCGAGTTGCATCGCCTATGACTAATCCTCCTAGGAACAACCAACAGTCTAGGTTTCAATCAAACCCATCAAGCTGTTCTAATTACTACGTCTTTTTCAAGTTCGAGATGGGGGTCGAATGCTATGTCAGATAGGAACGGGTCCCGTTCATCACCTCCTCGTCGTCGATCTCCTCCCAGAAGAAGTCCAAGACGTAGTCCGCCGAGAAATATGGGTGGTCCTCCCAAGAGAAGGTATGTTCTGAATTTTTTTATTTTAACATGATGTCTATGAAGGTCGCGTTCCCCACAAAGACGTTCTCCACCACCGGTTCGTAGGGCATCTCCTCCCAGAGATCGTAAAAGACCTTCAGCCGCTCCTTCTTCAAGAAGAGATACTCCTTCTCCACCCAGAAGAAGAGCTCGAATTATTCCTAGATACGAATGTCGTGTGAATAAACCTGTGCTCACAAGGTTGTTATTTTCAATCAGAGAGCCTAGAGTTTATTATATTATTTCCAGCGAACAAATTTCTTTAGTTCAAGTGAAATCCCGTTATTCTAAACTTTATATACCTTCTGATTTTGTTGATCTTACTCCTGATTGGGTCAAGCGTGTCCCACTTGATAGTCCCATTGATTTTACAAATTCTGTAAGTTTTTAAGTGTGATTCTTCTCTATTGCTTCGTTAGGTATCTTTCCATGTTTTGCACAAAGATGTAGACTATATTCCTGTGGATAATGAAAAGGAAGCTCCATTGGAGCCCGAAGATTTTGATCATCGCCACCAAGTCAAAGTATTTGAGTTTAAAAAGTTTTTTAATGATATTTTGAACTTAAGGTTCTACTTATGAGTCATAATGGCAAACAAGAGATAATGAAGAAGGCTTTCGGTCTTCTAGCGGATGGATCTTTAGATGATTCCCATGAAGTCACATCTTTATTGAAACAAATTCAATTTTTAGTTGGTAATATTGGTGCATAAACTTTTCCTCTTAATTTATGAAATTTAGGCGTTCGAGGCAAAGAATTCATGGCTATCGGAGGAAGCTATTCCCCCTCACTTGATGGTCCAGACCCTGCTAATCCCGGAACCCTGATCAAGACGGCTATTCGCACAACGAAGGCGCTGACTGGTGTGGATTTGAGTGGTGTTCCGCAATGGTAAGTCTGTTTGACATTATTTGATATTTTCTCGAACTTCTCCAAATCTTTTTGTAAACCATAAACTGTTGCCGGATTGTTCATAGAAGCCGTCGTCCTTACATTTAATGCAACTGAACTTCTCTGAGCCTGTGGCCGTGTGCCCGGTCAATTATGTTTAAGTGAACGTTTTGCCTCTCTTAGGTACTCGCTGGTGCAGGTTCGCTATTATCGCGCGGACAAAGATCGAGTGGATCGCGTACATCTACTCTGGCCTGATACCCAACTTTTGATGCCACCAGAAGAAACATGGAATGCACAAACAGCTGCACTCCGCTTGCAATGCGAACAGAAACTTACAGCAATAGAAGAAATGAGCTTAAAAGAAGAAAAGGACAACCAGCAGCCACAAGTCCAGCAACAGGCATCTACTGTTAAGGAAAGTCCCGTCCATCGCAGGCGATATTTGCCTTTCTCACTGTGTTCTGTGTCTGTCTGTTTTTGAGCACTTTACCTTCGCTCTTTGTCTCTTGTGTGCTTTTGTCCCCATTCTAAAACTTAATTCGCATGTAGCATGACCTGTGTTAAATTTCAGGTTTTTTTTCAGCACGAGGGGTTAAAATTATTCATTTTCTATCTCGTAGTGTGAGCCCAGTGCATTTAAATGGATAGTCCTTTACTCAGCTAATAATTACTTTTTTAGGAAGTCTCAACTCCAACAAAGGACGCTTCGAAAGATGAACCGATGGAAACACCACTTTCTGTTGCCGAAAGTGATGTCGAGATGAGCTCTACTGAGAAACCGAAGCCAGCTGCAAGCCATTGGAATGACTTAGATGTTAAAACAATGAAGGTATCTTTAATCCAATTGTGTGCATTTCTCATGCGAGGAGTTTAGGTTGCTGAGCTGAAAGCCGAATTGGACGCCCGTGGTTTGGAAAACAGAGGCATCAAGAATGTTCTCGCTCAAAGACTTCAAGAAGCTCTGGATAAGGAACAGGTACGTTAAGTAAAATACGTTCATTAGTACTCTATACGTTTATAGGAGTTGGAAGAAGACGGTCCTCCTGAAGAACCGATGGAAATAAAAGAAGAACCTAAAGAGGAAGTTGTCGAAGTCAAAGTAGAAGAGATTCCAAAAACCGAAGAGGAATTAAAGAAGGAAGCTGAAGAAATTGCGAAAAAAGCAGAAAAGCTGGAAAAAGAAAAGAAAGAAAAGAAGGCTGCTGTTGAGAAACATTATAATATTCCTAAAGAACAAAAGGTTTGTCCAATTTCTTGTGCAAAATTTATTCTTGATTTTAAGATATTCGTTTTCCCATCTAAAACTGCTAAGAATGGAAAGTTTGACTGCCGTGTAGTATCCTTACATTCGCTTCTTGAGTATCGTAATGATGATAACAAGGAATCCCAATTCGAAGTTTGTTCAGAAGTTTTAATCCGTATAGTTTTCATTTCGAGGTGTCGTTGTTCGCTGAAGCTTTTAAGGAACTTCTAGAAAGACTTGCAGCTTTCAAAATTTATCAATCTGTCGTTAATGCGGCAGACAGAGATGCTGAGAAAAAAAGAAAAGATGAAGCTAAAGGTCTCGGAGAGAAGGAAAAGAGCGAGGTTGAGATTCTTTGTCGAGAATTCAGTTGATATTTCCTCATTCTAGAATGCAGAAGAAGATAAGGATAAGAAAGAAGAGGAGAAACCAGAAAAAATTGAGCTCAAGTCCGTTGTTTCAGACAGGAGTTTGTTTGAAGCTTGTGTTGCCTACGATGGCAATCTCTGCGGGTAATCTTTGAGTTTCCTTGTATTATCAACTTCAATTTTTTTCTCAGCTATATCGGCGACAGAGATTTGGAAGAAATTTTTATGAACTGCGAGTTTGGGCTCACACGTGGCCAGATCTCCAAATTGGTTCATAGAATATGTAGTAGAGAACGCTTTAATTATAGGTTAGTGTTCCCTCTTGATATGTTCAAACAACTTTTGCTTCAGAGATCTCACCGACAACCTGGTCGATACTGATGGAAATGTAAGGTTCACCCCAGGACAAGTTGAGCAGCCAACATCAACGGAGACACTGCTTAGAGGTTTTGATTTTCTTACTTCTGAAACCATAATTTGTTTCAATAGGATACGGATTAGCGTATATAGAATCTGAGAAAGCATTGGATGGCTCTACGGAAAATGTAGCGAATGGCCAGATGGTCGTTATCAACGGCAACGTCATAAATGTTGAGCAGAAATTAGCATTGTTGAAGAAAAGTGAACAGGAGAGAGATCAAGCACGAGCTGCTTTCAATGAACAGACCTCTCTGTTGAGTAAGTTATAATTTTACTCTGCTTTTCGACGTGCATTTGTTTGATAGGCCAGCTACGTGAAGCAAAACAAGACTTGGAAAAGAAAAAGAAAGACCTTGAACGTGATTTGGATAAAACAAAAAAGAAACTCAGTGAAACTGGGTCAACTCTGAAAGCATCCCTTGACGATACTGCACATTTCAAAACCGCCTTAGCAGATGTTAAACGTTATGCTGAAAGAGTCCTCAGTGTTGTTGACAAAGCCTGTCCACCTACTCCTAAGAAGGAAGATAAGGAAAAGGTCAGTTGATCTTCATATAAAAGTTCATGTTCATTACATTTAGAAAACCGAAGAGAAGGATAAGTCGAAGGAGTCTAAGGAGAAACAGGAAAAACCTGAAGAGCCTACTATACCTGCTGAAGTTCTTGTATTGTCTGATGAGGCTGGTCCTGAAGCAGGAGAAGCTGCAGTTGATGAGAAATCGCGTGATAACTTCCAACCAACCAAAGACGAACCAGTGGTTCTCTAAAATAATTTATTTCTGGAAAACTAATTTATATTCAATCCGTTGTAATTGTGCTCATACACCTTATATATCCGATCTAGTTTGTCTTATTCATGAAAATCATGTAAACTTATGGTCTCCTTCTTTTTTTTACCAATCTGTAAATGCATGCAAGATTTTACACGGTATCCGGAGCTGATATCTTAATAATTTTTAGTTTAAATAAAGGCTAGCCTCATAACCTTTCATAATTAGTCGTTCGTTCGACATTATATTTGAAAGCATCTCATTAGCCTTTTTGTAAACCTTCCATTTTAGAAAGGAGATGAAAGATTGAGTGTCGAATTAGAATAGACGACTCTCGTTACTCTTCAGCAAAGGGGCAGAGTAGAACTTGCAATAATAGGATTCATAAGTTATCCTCTTTCAACTACATCCGACTCATAGTAGTGTCTAAGAAGGAGAATGGGAATCAATGTTTTATATTACGGTGTTGTTAGAAAATTGTCGATGTACGCAAAATGTCATGGAGAAACTATAAAAGATGTTTATAAACTAAAAAATGGTGGCCTTTTCTTTTGGTAATGACTAATCACTCTTTTTCGACTCCTGAATGTTGTGTTCGAGATAGAGCCGTATGTGCAAGAGAACTCCTCTCATCTTTTTTGTTTATCGATCAGTTGAGCTGAACTCGTTTGGAAATTTACTGGAAAAATAAGTTTGACATTTACACAAGATTATTGTAAAGGAAAGTTTATGATATTCTCACACAAACACTTTCTGTTGCCCAAATCTGGTCATTGACATTCAAAGCGTTCTCAGTATTTGCAAACAAGGGAAAAAGAGTTATAATGATTCTGGTCGAGGGAATTGATTATTTGAGAGAATGAGCTGGGCCTAATTTATCTGAGATGATATAATTGGCGCTATTATACAGCTTGAGAATGCTATCTACGGGCTTCGTATTTCAGATATATTCAAAACGTGCTAGCTCTTTCGCTCTTCAAAATCTTTTCTCTTTTGTAATACATTATATTTAACTTATTTAAGCTCATATCAGATTTCTTCTTATAAATCACTCGTTTCCATAATTGCTTCTCTAATATCACTGTTTTTCTATTATAGGATGAAAACTAACCCAAAACGAGAGAGCAAGTCTACTGCTAGATCTTCGGACGCTAGAGCGAAAAATAGAAATGCACAGCCTGCTCCTCAACCTCCAAGACCAAGACCTGTGCCCGAACGTGAAGAACCACAGGAGGAAGGTGAGGAGGAGGAAGGAGAGGAGGAACCGGAAACTGAACTTGTAGTCACTGGAAAAGACCCAACAATCTATTGTATTTGCAGGTTGATAACAATAGAATAATCAAATAAAATTAGGTTTATAGACAAAGCTATAGCCACAGTGAGTTCATGATCTCGTGTGATCGATGTGGGGATTGGTTTCATGGAAGATGCATTGGAGTAAGAAACATTGAAGTAGTAAGCTCATGACAGTACTTAGATGACCGAATGGTTCTCCCGGCACATTGATATATACCACTGTAGACGTTGCGCTTTGCGAGCGAATCTTCCTCAAGTCAGATTTAACACAGAGTATGTTCAATTAGTTAGTTTTCGACGGTTACTATGTGTGAAATCCAAACTCATTTCCTTCTTACCGGTGGTTGCTAATGGCTGTTCTATTCCAATTTCCGTTAGATTATCTAACTCAATTTTGCAGATACATGAAAGAGCTTAGCCGAATCATGAAAATAATTTACTCAGACAAACAAATGGACGAAGAACGAAGTAAGTGACACGTTTTCTGAAGTTTGAATCATAACTCTTCAGCCGTATACCGTTGTGACTTGTGCGTTGCTTGTCTGAGGCAGAAGAGATGTAATAGGGTTTGTGTGAAGTTTTTTTTTTCTAATTCTGATCTTATTCTTTTTGTTAGTGCGATCCGTGCAATAGGGCGGTACCAGGATTGTGTTTAAAGATGAGATGTGTTCATCTTAGTTCCCATCCTACCATGAGTAAGTTGCTTCCAATCTGACCGATTCAGTATCTCGAACTTATAGTCCGAGGGAAACATTTGCGTGAGATCACGAAGCATTTTACCGAAGAAGAATACGCTAAGCTGATAAAGCCAGCACTTCTAACCGCCGTGGCTACTGCTGCTGCTGCTGCTTATGAAACGAAAAGCACTGGTGCTGACAACAGTACTGTTGTAACTGCAGCTTCCTGCGCAGTACATAAATTCGCAATCGCCAACAGTGGACGTAAAAAATGGAAGAAGGGATCACCTTTCGTCCCATTTCAAATAAAATCCTTGGAACATATCATACAAGAAGAAGAAGATCGTGAAGTTGAGGAAGCGGAAAAAAAAGAAGTCCTGTTGGCTGAGATGGACGTCTTTCACGAGGAGGCGCAAAAAAAACAAGAGGCGCAAAGGCAGTTAGAACAAAGAAGGGTAACATTTCGCATTTTTCACTCTTACCATTTCTTTTTTATTAGGAAGTCCAAATGTGGGAGAGGAAGTCGAAGCCTGATAAAACTAAAAAAGGTAATTTATTTTTTTTATTTAAAATATTGTCACTTCAAAAAATGATGATTTTCGAAATTATTTTTCCTCTACTTTTCAGTTCGGCGCAAGCGAAGGGTTAAGACTGAAGAAGATGCTGAAGTCAGCGAAGTTGAGATTCCTAAGCAATGCATGGTATATTTAGTTTTTATATTTATGTTTTTATTACAAATATTGATTAAAGGAGCCCTCTTGTGTTAAACTTGCACGAGTAGACAGCAAGTACTGCACGGAAGAATGTGGATTGAAACTTGCACAGGTTTAGTTATTATATTAACATGGTTTGAGTGTTCTTATTTTCCAGACTAGATTAAGATGTATTCTACCTACTCGGGTTGAGAACTTCTGGAGTACTACTCCCACTACACACGTAAATGCCAAAGCACCGGTGTGAAATATTGATTTTTTGCAGGTTCGATTCAAAAAATGGATCGAAGAGCTAACCGAAATTTGCACCATCAATAACGATCGGATCAATGAGCTTTTATCCTACTATCAGATGGTGATGCGATATATAAATGTAGCTTCATTATCGTGATGCGATCCATTATTTATTTCTTTAGGCATTGCATAACTTGGAGCCTATGGATGAAGATGAAGATGTAGCCCAAGACATGGTTAGCAACAACTATCATTGCGCAGACTATATTTTGTTTTAGATCTCCAACTGTACTGTTTGTGGAGCAGAAGTGAATGCTCGACAACTTCCGAAACATGTTGAACGCTGTTTTGTTCGTTCTGAAAAACAAATCACTTTTGGTGCCCAGCAAATGGTATTTTAGCGATGAGCGTTGGTGTAATTTTCAATAAATGGGTTTCAGGCAGCATTCAATCCACATGAACTTTTCTGTGAATCCTATAACAAAGCCAGTAACACATTTTGTAAACGTCTAAGGGTTATGTGTGCTGAGCATTACAAGGGGGAGCTTGAAGAAGGGATCAAGGTATGAGTCCGAGAAGCAATCGTTGATCCTACATCGTCAGTTTCAGATTTGTGGATGCCCGTACTATTTGACCGGCAATAACATGAAAGCTTTCTCTGATATTTTTATCGGCGAGTCTGAATTGTTGGAAGGAGGTTTCTGTACAAATCCTCGTAAAACATGTACTCTCCATCATAGATGGATTCAAGTGAGTTTATTAGTGAATTGAGAGTTACCTTGATTTTCTTTCATCAGACTGTGTTCGGTATCATCGAAACCGAAAGAATGAATTTGCTTACAAAGTTTGAAGAACTTAGTGAAAGAAGAACAGCTTTAATGACTGCAAACCGCGATCGCGGTGATTTGATTTCTCTCCTGTGTTGTGAAACAGTAGGAACACCCACACATCAGTTCATAAACGCTGTTTCAGAAAAGAGTCAACAATGATCAGGAGCCTAAGAAGGACATATGACTAATTAACATTGAACTCTAAGAGTTTTATCATCACATTCTTACAAACTGCTTCATACCAATTGAACATATTTCATAATTTCCAAGCTTGACAAATAAACTAACGCCACGTCAGTTAGTTTGTAGCACTCCGACCATTCCATATTACGCCGTCCGATATGTACGCCTCTCATATGTATATCGATAATGAGTAAATATAAATGCTTCCACTATTTGATGACCTTTCATATTGCGTTTCTCATGATTATACCTGATGGATCTCTCCTGATTTGACTTGTTCGTTTAATCTTATTAGTTTTAGGTTGAAGATAAAACCATGAAAGCTATTTTTGTTTTTGACGTTGATGGCACATTGACCCCTTGTAGAAAAGTAGAATTAAATTCAATTGAAGAATCTTTTCTATTATTTTAGAATATTGATAAAGAGACCCACGACTTTTTACAAGAAATTAGGAAGTCTTATCCAGTTGCAATCGTGGGCGGCTCAGACCTGAATAAAATTGCTGAGCAGCTTGCTAACCATGATAAGACTAAATGTAAGAGGGTATATTGATTATTCAAAAAAACTGATAGCCTTATAGTAACCACAGAATACGACTATGTCTTCAGCGAGAACGGAATGGTTGGATTCCATGGAGAAAAAGAACTGCCTACTCATGTAAACAGGATATCCAATACTTTGATTTATTTTCGGGTTTCAGTCAATCCACGAGAAACTAGGAGAAGAGAAACTTCAAAAGCTAATCAACTTTACTCTGAACTATTTCTCTAACATAACCCTTCCAGTCAAAAGAGGAAACTTCATTGAATTCCGTAAAGTAAGTGTACCTATAGCTGCTTAGACTTTTTATCTTTAAGGGAATGCTGAACCTATCACCTATCGGAAGGAGCTGTTCACAAGAAGAACGTGATAACTTTGTTATTTATGATGCAGAGCACGGAATTCGTGAGAAGTTCGTAAAAGCTCTTGAAGCTGAGTTTTCCAGCTTCGGACTCACTTTTGCTGTTGGTGAGTTTATGTTTGTAATATCTGTGCACAACCGATCTGTGCGAATACAATTCGAAAATGGAACTGTCTGTGCGCGTGGCGCCACGCTAAGTTTCAATTAAGAATGGTTTTAATGTTTGAAACACGTCATGAAAGCTTTCTAGGCGGACAGATCAGTGTCGATGCTTATCCTAATGGATGGGACAAAACGTTTTGCCTTCAATACTTTGCCGACCAGTATGAACGTATTTACTTTTTCGGAGATAAGACAGCACCAGTAGGCTTTTATCAAAAATCTGATTCTTAGCGACTTTTTTGAAGGGAGGGAATGATCACGCAATTTTCGTAGATCCAAGAACAATCGGACACACAGTAGCAGGACCTTCCGACACACGACAACAGGTGTCAAAAGCTCTTGAAGAGCTTAAGACAATTTAATCATTTGAACATTCTTACTCATTTTTAATCTTTGATGACACCACGTTTTAATCTAAGTTAATATTATCCATTATTATTCATTTATTCAGTTGAAAAAGTGATGAAAGGCCGTTTAAAGGTGTTGAGTAGATTGAATAAACGGTTAGGGATAACAATATTCTTTTGATATACGAAAGATTTTGCATCTTTTGTATGTGATTTGTATGTAAGTGTGAAAGTTGGAATTAGTCATTGTATTGTTCACAAAAAATCTTTTTGACGACGTAATGATGTTGCTTTGTGCTCCATAGATTATTCAGGAAAATAGATACAAAAAAAGAAATCAGAATCCCTCGATAGAGAGGGGAGGTTCGTTAGCATATTCTCAAGTGTTGTTTAAACTTACGGTATGAAAGACATCTGGGTAATTATCCTCATTCAGATTATCTCACTTTTCTTTGTTTATGGGCTCAAATGTCACAAGTAACGTTTTATAGATGTAATCAGAAAAAAATGAAGAAACAGGAAGCCAAAATCAGGACGAGGTTGAGCAAATCGCACTACATAAATCAGGACAAATTGAGACTACGCGGGAAGTCATTAATGACCAGAATAATGAGCAGGTTGACGACACAGGTGGAGGTTAGTTCTTAACGAGAATGCAGATAAAGACAAGAGAGTGCAGAGCTTGAATAGTGTTCGAGTTCAGACTACTGAGGTAAAGCTATTAGCAGTTGTAATTGGACCCCATAAAACTAATCGGTAGAGCCTGGTGTCTCACGAAGCCAGCTCAGCTTAATGAATATGAATGAGAAGATATAATTAGTTGATAATTGCTGGAAAGTTCTCTTCTATTCTCATTTGTGGGTCAGAACAGCTTCAACAAACGCTCATGCAGATGTTTGTAAGCTGACTTCTACCTTATTTCCCTTTCAAATTGCAATGAAATGCTACTGTCTGCTTTTTTTTGTTTGTTTCACATCCGCTCAAATTACGAACAAAGGAAGTTGTCTAAAGTATCTGTCTGACTCATCTTTCAACCCTTTTTGTCCTCCAAAGGACACACTCGCTGCTCAACGACTATAAATGAAGCGTTTTTTTTTTTAGCTTTTGGCGGATATTGGTCATCTCGAGGCTGATTGAGTTTTCCACAAAAAAGATGGTCAACGATAAGAAATGCTTCTGGCAGCCGTTTTGATGGTTCTCATCCTGTGTCCAGATGTTCGTTCAACATTTAAATTTCCTGTCAATATTATCCTATAATGGGATGAGGAAGTATTTGATTGAAAAGCTGAAGAAAGCTATGCCGCATGAAAATGAGTATTATTATCAGTTTTCTCGTGTCGCAGATGTCATATAGTATAGATCTTATTGCTACTATGAGTAGCCGTAGACGCAGTTATAGAGCTGTAGGGTAGTAGCAGATTGAGATTGAAAGCAATATGGATACGGGAGCAGGTTTTGACATTGTGTGTGAAAGCCATATATATGGGTGATATGGCTTTTCCTTCAGCACCGCTACACATTCACATCAATCGAGAAATATTGGACACAATGGCAATAGCGAATGTCATGTAGACAACATAAGGAGAGAAGCCCATCGAGTTGTGCTATGTTTATATTTTTGCTTATCAAGTAATGTTATATCCTGCTAGGTTTTCCAATATTGAAATATGTCTTGACCCTTGCGTAACAATGTATTTTTGATTTGCTTTGTTTACTATGTAATGACGATCGTGAGTATGGTTGGTGCAAGATAACTACTGTGCTAAGTAGGAGAGCCACCTTAGATACATCAATCTAAGGATGATGACGTCATAGCAACTTAAGGTTTTAGCTCCTATTACAGATTAATATAATCGTTTAAGCTAAAAGCATGATGACTATCAGAAACGGATGTTTTTAATAAAAATCACAAAACGATAAGACAGTGTATGCATCTGTCTGTCTTCTCTTATCAAAAATAATAAAAAGAATAATTAAGTTCATAATTATGATCATTTTGTTCTGCCACTACTGCTTATATAAATAATCATCGTGTCCATATAAAACGAGATACGTTCAAGGTCTTGTAAACTCTTGAAACAACAACTGAAACTTGATTTGCGGGTAAAGGCTTGATGATGATGGAGGAAGCCATAAAATCATTTTCCTTGTAACCTGTAGACCACCTAGCTATCTCCAACAATACAAATCATCCTTACAGCCTTTACAAATCTTCTTTGCTTTTCTTCCATATTTGTGTTTGATTCTCACAACAAAAGATTCACACACACATATGCCATTTTCCGTCTGAAATTTCTTTACAATGTTTAAAATTCAGATAAAATCACAAGAGTATCCCTGAATGCTGCTAGCACTACGTTCTACCCATAGCTGCGCTAAACTTCACATGCATCCCGGCTTTCTTGTGAATTGAGTTCTCTCATTCTCTCCTTTTTTTTTCTTTTTTTGCCTCTTCCGCTGTTGACCGAGATTTCTCTTACTCATTTTCCATTATTTTTAAAAGGTCATGATTGCCTCTCGTGGTCAAAAACGATTTGTGCCTTGTTTTTTCTGCAATTTCGTTCACATCTTCAGCATCGTTTGCTCTACAATCAGTCTGTTCATTCAGTGAGATTTCCCTTTTTCGTCCACCACAAAATGCTTTCTGCTCGTAATCAAGACTAATCCACAAAGTCTATTCTGCTAGTTATCTCATTTCTGTTTGTTTTTTCCTACAACAAGAAAAAAAGAAATTTTTTTTTATGAAAACGTTCGTCATTTTCATGATTTGGCAGATTGCGATAGCTTCGTCTGACCAGATGAACCAAATCTCCGACGTTGTTTTGAGAGCTTTTGATTTTTTCAATTCGCTAAATTCTCGTAATCCGCATTGCTCTTGAGGCATCTCTTCTTTCTCCAAAGCTCTGATTATTCGTTTTCCCACCGTCTCCATGGTTTCTTCACTCTCCCCTTTCCGTTTAATAACACGAAGAATTATAAGAATTCCTTTTTGTTTTGTTTACAATTTCTAATCGTGAATCTAACCTGTAGAGAATGTAAGAATCCATTATGTTCGGATGATTTTGTTTGAAAATATGCTGAGATAGCCAAGACCTATCACCCACACGAACATTCCAGCTATTGTTGTGTTTCAATGTAATTTATATTTATATACTAACTAACACTCAACATTTTAATTATATAACACCTCTACATTTCATTCAATTTCCTGTATTTGACTACAACTCATGCCAGTAGCATGTGAACGGTGTCATCAGCAGGTGATCGTCAACATCTACCACCTCAATATCATCGTGAGCATACTCCTAGTAGCACTTGCACTTCTTTAGACCATCTGCCTGAGCTTAAGACTTAGTAAATCATTCAATTTAATAATTTCTAATCTCTTTCTCCAAGACAGCTGTTAGTTTTATCTCTGAATAAAATCTAACAAGTAGAATCTGTATATCAATTGCATGAGACGTTTTTCTGCTGCCACAAATCCAAATAAAGAAATGTGTCCGCATACAAAGCCTTTCCGAAAATCTGCTAATTCCCATCAGTTTGTAAAATTACGAACAGCTCATCTTGCTAACTTCCAAAACATTTTACCGCTCTGCTGATAATCCATAAAGGACCAGCACAGACTTCCAGCTGTGCCCCTCGATGGTTGTTACGTGAAAACTGAAGGTGTGAATTGTGATTTCGGTGTGCAATGTGTGACCGCCAATTAACCATAAAGGATGAGAAGAAGTAGAAGAGAAAAAACTATATTTCTCAGCATATTTTTCATAGCTTAATACGTCTCAAATTACACTTTTGTTACGAGAAATAACAAATAAATCATGCAGTGCCGTGTGGGGTGAACACGAAAAAATTAATCATCAATAAGTCATAAATCAACAATAGCTTCAGGATTAGCAGATAAGACCAGAAGTTTTTAATCTCACGTCTTACGTGATTTATCGATTGATTTACTCATTTATATTCATTTTGAGTTATGTGAACGCATTTACCGGTTGCCTATGACGTCTTAATATAAGATTCGAGTTGAGTGAATCCACACGCACATACATACTCGTCACACAAACGGCCAATATGCTTTCCAATTTCTCAAATTGAGAAAAGCTGGAATTAGAGAAAACAATTGAAATATTATTTTTCTTTTGAATTTCATCTTTCAATAGTCAGAAAGACAAATCATCGTTTGCCGTTTGTTCCATCATGCTCATTATTTGAAAACTGCGACTCTCAAATTACTACTCGTGTGGTCAGCCTGTCTGAAATAAAAGAATTATGTTGAAGAGCAGAATTTCTTTTTAGTGCAATGAGGTGAACAAGCCTTGACCCATAAAATCTCCTTGCCTACCTTAGGCTTCTCAGCTTTTTTTCTTCAATTTTCTTAAATGGAAACTGGTTAAGTCAAGTTTGTTCAGCCACACAGGCAGTTGATGCATTTCTCATTCCATTTCCGTGACATTATGAGGAAGAGTATGAGGAATTTCTTGTTCGTGCTTTTGTCTTTTAGCTTTTCTGCGAAAGAATACAAATTAATCTTCTTCTGCTTCTTTCGCGTTCGAATGACTTTGAAAAACGCACAGATTCATAATGAGGACTTCAAGTTTATGACAAACGCGTGTCGCAGGCTCATAATTTGCTATTGCGGTACCTCGCTATGTTATCTTAAACCTCTTCTCTCTTACTCATGTCTGATAAGAGCGAACATCTTTATGTCTTTAACTCTCTTACTCATCTGATGTTGCTCTACAATTCTCTTCACATAAAATCCTTCGCGTAAACATTAGCATGGAGGAGTAGGAACAACTTTGATATTTATGGCCAGTCAAGCTTTTTAATGATCGCCGCTCCTTGTCTATCGAACAACTTACTCACAGTCATTAGGCTTCTGCATTCACATTAAAATCATTTTTTTCTAACTTTGAAATACGTGATAACGCGTTAATTAATTAATAACTTCAATTCACGTACTGCACTTCCGTTTCCGGTCAAAAAAGCTTTCGTTTTTTGAATATTTTCGGATATTTTACGTTTTTGAATGTTAATTTCTTTTCTGATGAAAATTTGTTTGATTGTCTCTTTCCTCTTCGTGCTTTGGTCATCTCTCACGCTCTCTCTCTCAATACAATCACATTCTAAGGGTGTGAATTGAAATAATTCTTGTGTTTCGTCTGCTCTGAATGTCATGCTCAGGTATGAATAGTTAGGATATATGTCTTCATATGGATATGGCAGTGCAGAACATGTATTATGCTAATGAGACAGCACATCGCATTGTTGAAGACACAACCCTATTCTTTAGCCTATTGTATGGAAGACTGTTAGATGCTCGTAGTAAAGAAATATATGTGTGAGTGTATGTATTTCCTAACAACTGAAAAAAACATCCCGGATAGTGGTTTTTATTTATTGCAAAGCTATGCCCCAACCCATCTGCTTCAGGCATTCGCTTCCCCATTTAACTTTTTCTCTTTCAAAGTGCGCTGACAACGACCAGACCGGGATCTTGATAATGGCTGTATCCCTTTGTGAATGTCATCCAATAGGTCGTTTTTATATTTAAATATTTGCGCTCTTCTTCTTTTTTTTCTTCAATTCGACCATTTTGGTTTGGATGTGTTTGTGAGAGCGTGTGTGAAAGTTGTTGTGAGGACTCAGGGTGGTCTCGTTTCCCCTCATAAGTTTCTCTGAGTTTTGAAACAGAGATTCATTGAGGTGAAATAATATGCTGAGGATGATGATCCGTCGTCTAAAATTACTGCTCTCCCATGTTTTTATAACAAAGACACTCTGTGAAGCAGCAGATTTTTGAAGTTAATCCGTTCTTAATTCGGATCTCTCCTAATGCTAATGACTCTGGCTTCTTATCCAAAAATCGTCAACACCTGCTAAGTACGTAAACTTATGCAAATGTTTCTGTCCTTTTTTCCCTTTTCTTATCCTATTTTTCATTTTGAATCGGTCAAAGTACTTATGTATAATATTAATATCTTCATATGAACGATATGAGAGGATTAATTTGGCTATCATTAGCATATTCCACCATGCCATTCAGCCACCATAAACCACTTAAAGCTCCTAATATTGTGATTTTTCTTTTTATGAGCTTTTGTAGTACAATAATTAGTTTTTTTTACAACTCCATTTGTCCCTTTAACTTTCAATCTTCATATGCTTTTCGATCATCGAGCTCATAACTGCGCACAAGCCAATCGAAATTTTCAACAACACGCGCTCGTATATTGAACCCAACTTTGGCATGTCCACTTCAAAAATCTTCTTGCATTTACACCCATCCAATTTTCTTCAAGATATTCTTCTTATACTTTTTGCGTCTTCTAACAAGTCCTTATAGCCTTCGTTGGCGCTTTAAATCCATCTAATCTGATTTCATTTTTTCCCCTATTTTATGCTTTTGCTATTCCTCTCTTATATCTATTAGTTTCCGCCAGTTTTACCTCATTTGCATATGGTTTTCAAAAATTTGTTTTTTTCTGTCCGCGGTCAAACGCCTCATTAGCATAACTTCACGTTTTCCACGCAGCAACGCATTCTCAGCTGTTCCTTCACTCTCATTGAACATTGACAACCGAGCGGTTGCATTTGAATGCATATATTTTATTCCGACTAAGTTATCTGATGCTAGTTTTTTATTCTTTTTTATTTTGCTCTGTAGTCTTGAGATATGTCTGGTAGTAAGTATATCGTACTAAGGTGCTTTTTCCTGCTTCTGTGGGGTTATACCTTTAAGCTATTTTAACATGCCTGTTGACACCTTGTAGTAGGTAGTGTTGCATTGTTCATCTTAGTTAGTTCGTAACCTCAGGTTTTACTTCCTGACAGTTTAATCTCCGCCTATATTTGGCCTCAACTTGATCCACTGCGATTCCCGACGGCACGGGGGAAGGCGTGGCTCAGTGGCGAAGATGAAGGAGAGGCGTGGCCATACAAACAGGCTCCTCTCCACAAGTCCATTTATCTTCGGCAATCATCGGGTCAATATTGCTCTGTTAGAATTTCACGTTTTTCTGTTGATTACAGCTCATTACCTCATACTTCCCTTTCACTTGTTTGCTTCTCAAGTCTTCTATTAATTCATATATTTTTTTCCAGATATGCAACTGGATATGTTGATTATTTTTTGTCTAATCTGCTATACAACCGCTAAAAAGTTACCAGATATTCATTGGAGTTCTTCGAATTCACCGTAAGTTTTCATTTTATATTATAGTTTTACTTTGATTGTACTTGTTTTATGCTAGTAATTCTTCCATCCTAGTTAGCTCAATCACTTTTCCACTCTCGATTCTCATTGTTCTTGCGCATTCATCATAGCTATGCTACTATAATGACTTCTATCTCATAAAGCTTAGCTCAACGAAAAATATTTTTTTGAAGCTTCGGAGCATAGCTAGACTTTTTTTTTATTTCTGCATATGATTAACCTCATAAGTGACATCTAGTTTTATGTCAATATACCAGGCAGTTTTTAGTCCATGTCCTCTCTTGATTACCGGCTGGTGTTGTTTAGTTCAACTAAATGAATACTATACAAATATCGGCTAGCCTAAAAAGATCATAATCCTGCTCGTCTCTAATATAGACATCTGCTACTTAAGCTTCATGTTCTATCAGTGTCGGCCTCGACATGCGAAAGGTTGTTATTCTAACAAATAGTCTTTCGGTAAGACATCAGACAGTCGGACTTTTTTTTTCGTTTTTGCCGAAAGCTTTCAACCTGCGCGTTATAGCGTGTTGCCACTGACTAATCTCCTTGTGAGATTCACTTAGCAAAAATTTATGAGATTGTAGGTAATCAACCTGTTCCGTTGTGTTTAGTACTTTCAACTGTTCCTTTATGTTCGTCTTCCTTGTTGGTAATTGGTCTTTCGCACCTGGTCTATAATTATCTGAATACAGATGAATTGAACCAGGACTATGAATAATCATTACTAATGAACCATAGACAGCTAAATACATTTCCATACGCTTTGCTGATCATTTCTTTTTTTTACATTTTGCTTATTATGATTGTCTGACGCATCTGGTCGTAAACTCACTTCGATATACATTTTGCTTCATGCCTTCTGGTAATTTTCCTGAGCCCTTTCACCCTGTTCCATCATGTTCACGGATACATAATGGACAGTAGCCTTGAAGAGTTCAGAAAATGACTTCCAGATACTTTGTGACATATCACATTGTCAACGTTTATGGTTTAATTTGACTCAGGTTAACCCTTGCTATTGGCTTGGGTAAGGTTCCGGAGGCGCTATAAGTACATCTGGTGCTTAAATTCACAATAGTATCATAGCGACTGCCTATTAATTAAGAATCTATTACCTAAGTTAGATAGGTACTTGATTGTCTAGAAAGTGGTTTTAGGAATGAAATGGAACAAGATCTGTTTCCCTCCAGGGTGACGATGAAACTACTTAGGTTTGAGAGTACTCGTAACAGAAGCTCTACAGTGCCTGCATAAGTGCTTAAGTATTGAGAATATAGAGTAAAACGGGGTTTGAGATATTCTAATCTTTACCAGCTCCTCTAAGTGGCAATGTTTACAGTAATATAATGCCAGCTATATATCATTTGTGTTCATATCTCAGCCTATCTTGCTTCTTATTCATCATTAACTCAAACATACTGTTTGTCTTGAGCATTGGTCTAAGAAGCAACAAATGGACGATTAATGATCTTTACAATCAATCAGATATTATTGTCTGTTCCATGATTTAAGCCATGTGCTGTTAGACTAAGAAGACAGTTAATATGATGAATTTAAACTGGCGAAGATGGATGTTTGTCATCAACGTGTCATCTTGGGCATTTTTTCATGTTATATTAAAATAGGCTACTCTTCTTCTTCCTTTAATAGGCATATGTCTGTAATAGACAAGAACCTATCGTTCGTTCTATATGCTAATTTTTAAGTCTTAGACTAGCAGCTGTTCTTTAGCAAATCAGACCTTATAAGGCAAGCTGTAGCTGACATACTCAAGATGGATGAACGGTTGAGAACGGATTAGTGCAGAGATTGAGATGAATCCTTCGCATGTGGGGCACTGGAACTCTAGTTCTTTGTGCATAACCTGCTGTTCCTTATTGGGTCCCAAGCTCTTGGTCTTTGTTACAAAATAGGCCGAAGAGCGTAACAAGCTCATGTGGGGGGTCTCAACAGCGTATGAGAATCCATTTCATATTCTTAGAAACATTGTGAGCTCGAGTTGCTAACATGTGCTGAACAGGGTTGTTAACGAACATCGTTTTTATGTTGGCGGGTGCTCTTCATCAACATATCTTTCATTTGTGGTCTTGTTAACTACACATCACTCATTATCTATTAGAGAAACATCTTTCTCTGTATTATATTTTCTTTTCTATCTCTCCTTTAATATTTCATATTGGGTTGTATCTTCACTTGTGGGTTGGTGGTAGAGTTAGTATCTTGTTCTTCAGTGTAATAAGTGTTGTATCAGTATGTAGAACACATGTCTTGTCTTCATATACCAAACGGAGGGTATGGCGGCTGTCAGTTTTCAACGCAAGTCTAAGCCTTCTCCTATCACGGTGTATGTGTATCTTTGGGAGCTTCTCTTTTATTTTCTCATATATTACGAGAGTTAAGGAAAAGATAGACAGAAAGTACGCTAGAGACAGTTGGATGAGAGAGCTAATTTATGGAGGTCGTTAGTGGACCGAAAACACAGAGAGAAATAACCAGGAGAATTTATGGTTGTTTTAACAAGAAGAACTTGCTCAAGGCAAATTATTAAACGAATTCTAATTTATGTTCCTTCCATAGTGTATCAACAGGGTTGCTAGGATTTGTTTCATCATGGATAATCAATTGTCTCATGTCCAAGCTTAATCTTCTAATCGTAGTGAAATGTTCACGATGGGCAGGCGAATTAGATGCACCTGTCTCAGTTTCCAGTGTAGATTGATAGCATTCAATGCGACGAGAATTTATTTATCCCACTTGAATTTTTTCTTTTTTCATAAAACTATGAGAAGAAAGATAAACTTGGGGGGTAATTAGCGGCATCCTTTGCTCTTATTTATTGGACATTCTTTCATTGGAAGCTTCTAACTGTAGAGTTATAATAAGCTCAGTATTATTTGAAAGAGAGAGTCTGGTAATTAGCATTTGAGTTTCATTCTCTAAGCCATGTAAGAAATGTCTCATTTCCGTTTAAAGATTTAGACAGAAATAGAGCACGGATTTGACGCCATATTCCTTTCTTTCAATTGGATCAAGTTACTTACGATTGATGTTCAAATTCCGAAAACAAATAAGCTATTCATCATTACATAATTGTAGTGAAGAGAGTTGCTGCTGCATCTGCGATTGCGTGCGTTATTGGTTTCGGAAATTTTCTATGAAATTTAAGCCGTTCGAAGCTTGAATACTTTGCGGTACCAGCATCTGCTTGCTGATTGCAACATCAAATTCTATCTGTTTCATTTACCTGTTCGCATCGGCTTTTGTCTATGATATCAATTTACTTCCTCACTGCTCTTTTCAATGTGTCGCTACCGTCGTCCATCTGTTATGACTTTTTGACTTCTCTATAGGTATGCGTGTATGCGAACACTCTTATGTAGCTTGACGCAATCATAATTGACCCACCGCCACAGACAGAAAGTCTCAGATGGTTGTGTCTTTTGTATTATCCTTTTGTAGTAGTCATTCATTAACAGATTACGTACAAAAGATATACAATGCTTCCTTTTTCAACTTCTTCATCTGATTTTGCCGAATACTACTGGGAAGCTAATCCACTTAAAAACTTTTGTTAGTCTGCAGCCATAGGCATAGATGGTAATCATAAGTTATCCTTTTATACTGACCGCTCCGAAAGCTATTTGACACAATTGCAACTACTTGTTCCGCAGTTTTATGCGATCTCGTCTTATCTGTTGAACATCTTTGCCCCTAGTGAATGGCAGGTTGATTGACTTGTAATATGTCTGTTGCACGAACTCTCGGAATCTCTCTCTATACAGTCCTACTCCGTAATAGCGGCATTATTTGAAGTGGTTTTCTGTAAATTCCGTACGTGTATCTGATGATTTACGATAAGCAATTTTTACCGACGAACATTAAGCTCGTTAGCGATTATTATATAAGTATATAACAGCTTTATCTCATCAATGCAGTAACAAACTACAGCTGACTTATGATGTGAGCTGATTATGGCAACAAATCTGCGCGTACATTCCGTTGTAACAACATATTTGGCTTTTTTTTACCGTCTGTGTCAACAATGTTGACCAAATCTTCAACCTAATGAGGAGTTGCACAAACACGTTGTCGAGTTGAACAAGATTGGCATAGGCTAACTGACAAGAACAACTTGGACAATTCTTTTGCAATGTTGTCTTTGTGCTTCTTCACAAACCGCAGGGTGCCTTTGCGGTATGCCTCTTCACCGCCGAAGAGCAGTGTCGTTTGCGGTTTTTTATCGCCAAATACAGGAGTGTTTCCGTCTGTTGCACATCGTTTTACCGGATATTGAAAAACAGTCAAAAGGCTTTGCTGAATTAGCCTTTTGTGTGGCCAGGGGTCAAATTAAAAAAGAGATCTGTCGGTCATTGTAGAATAGGATGAACATTTCCTCATTCTTCAAATGAAGGTCTCATTTGCATAATCCTCTTCTACTCTCTTATCCATCCCGATTCCTACTCGGTGAATCGATGATCTAGCTTGTCTCTCATTCTCTTTTCCGGTATTTAGTGTCTGTTCCCTCTTGTGGATATAGATTACGCTTTCTGGCTCTATCCTTTAATAAGTATATGATTGAAGCGTGAGCGGGAAACCAAAAAAGAAATCCTTGTGCACCTTCCAATCATACGTTGTATAGTAGCTAGCCCTACAATCCGGGCCTAATGAGAATTGAATTGGATGCAATTAGGCTGCAGCACAACAACTCCATATTATCGCTAAATTCCATGACTCTTTCATGTTTCTCCAGTCTGCTCTGAAATGCGACAGAAAATTGAAAAAAGCAGAAAAGAGTCTGCCATCCGCTTAGCAGCTCTGCATATTTTGCTTTCATGAATTAGCATTTAGTTATGAAAAGACCACTATAACGAGGGATATCATGCTGTGAATACGAAATAAAAGCCTGGACTCACTTACGCTTCCATAAAGGTTTTGGTCATGGAATATGAGTGAACTGAGTGTTTCTCTTCTCTTTTTATTTCAAAGAACTACATAGAGCGAGGGAAATTTTGAAAATTTGGGTTGCAATTTCAAGTACTTTCATCTATGTTCACACAATCTCTTTCCCATTCTCTCACCTCGACACTATATGGACCAATTTGTTCCGAAAACAACGTGTTGAGCAAAGTGGTGTAGTAAATATATATAAAATTGAGATATCTCAAGGTTTATGGCAACCGGAATCTGTGATGGTTAAATTTGATGTCTCTATTCTCTTCGTCAATAAGAGTATTTCTTACCTCCTAACAGAGATGTTTTGGGGGTTAAGTGGCCTTTTAACCCTACCGACTATCTAGCCATTTATGTACCTTTCATAACCTGCCCTCTCACTTAATATATGATTATACAAACTAGGTGAAGAAGTTTGAGAGGGTTTCTGGATTTGAGCGGCATCTGATTCAATTATCAAAAAGAACACTCTGATACTAATCCGTTAGGGAGACTCTCTTGAACTGCGTCAAGTGTTGAAAATATAACGCTGACTGCTTGATGCATCCATCCAAAGTCACAAAAACGGAAGGGCTAGGTTACAAATAAAGCTCTCATAAAGCAAGATAAAATCAGCATTTTGTACAAGAAACTGTAGAATATGAAGATAGTATCGTCTGACATCTGTCTTACAGTTCCTCACTTAGGTATTCATACGAGATGCATTTTGTTTAATTCGCTCTACACCTGTTGTTGATAGAACTAAGTGTATGTGTCTTCATGAAAATATTCACAGTATGGGGTCTTGATTGATCATGTCCACGATCAGTATCTTATTGTTTCATCTAATAGCTCATTCAATCTTCATTTTCTTCTTAATTATCTCTACTGCACTACGTGATAGAGTTAATGAGAACACGAATAAGTATTTGATGGCTAAAGACAAGCCAATTGTCTATTTGTGACACTGCATACGATCTATTGCACAAGATCCGTTATTGATACGGATATAATTGAGTTTATTCATGTGGAAGGGATGAAGAAAAGCAGAAAAAACGTATGACCTGTATCTTCTTTCCTCTAAGAGCCATATGGGTTGATGACAGCTGGACAACATCACCATCTTTGATAACAAAAATGTTTATCATACTTGAATAAACAATCTTAATTTATAATACAAATAGGGAAGCTAGAATTGGGACAATTTCATGTATGAATGCTCGTTCTGATGAACATTTATTTCATTAGATACTTCTTCTGTCTCTAATATGATTACCTCAATCGGAAATCATCAGCTCGTCATAAGGACAGTGGAATGAGCAGATGGCTTCATAGTTTATGCATGCTTAGCATAGTCTTTATCCAGAAAAATGGTCTGATTGAATGATTGAGTCTCTTGATTAAGTGAAGTATTGTCTGTTTTTATAAATGACTAATGTCATCGTTTTCTGATTTCAAGCTTCTTCTCTCCGAGCACTACTTGACATTCCGTTTAAATAATTATATTAACTATTCTGCTAATTAGGCACTAATTCTGACCAGCACTGGCCACCTAAGTGATGTTAATGGCTTTGATTTGCTACTTGACATTACATAACTTAGAATGCAGAAGGTTTGAGGGAACATTCGCTATTCTAACGAAAATCATCTTTACTATTTCCTATTTGGGATTTTCTTTTTCTTATTTTTTTGAATCTTTCGTCCTCCAATCTACACTTGTCTTTATGTGGCTCATTTACAACACATTAGCATAGCCATAAATGGCCAACGAATCACGCAATCATTTCTCAATTTCTTTTGAACTTTTTTTGCGATTGCCTGCGGGATTGGACTACGGCATATGTTCTTTCTGAATAGAAGTATTATCTAAACAGTTAATGTAACATAACATGACCATTTGTTGTCTATACAATAGCCATAAAAGGACGGTATCACATTTATCGTGTGCACATCTAGAATAACATTGATGCCTTTGATTGCTTCCGATCCGTTTTCGGCAGCCGGCCCACCTGCAATTCTAAATATGTCTATGTCCTTGCCTTTTATCCTTCTAAGCCACATGTTGCTACTCAACTAAAGGGATTTGAATTTTAATTAATTTTTTTTATTTCCAGACAAGAACGTTATGCTGCCATTGGTGATTCACTCGATATTCTTTGCCCCAATTTCGATACCGAAACTTCTGATGAGGATACTGAGCAAACAATCGTCTACAGAGTAAGCATTTACTCATGGTCTTTCACTTCTTATTTCTAATAATTTATAGGTTCCCAAGTTTGACTATGAGAAGTGCCGATTGAGCTCCAAGGCTGAGCTGCTGGCCAGATGTGCGAATCCCAGAAAACATCAGAAGTGGACTGTGTCTTTCCGACAATTCAACCCCAATCCATCTGCTTTGGATTATCATCCAGGAACTACATATTACTTCATTTCAACTTCAACTGGATCTGCTCGTGGACTTGAAAATGATATCGGAGGATTGTGTGCAAGCCATAATTTGAAGATGGTCATCCATGTTACTGACAAAAACGGAGATATTTCACATCATCGTCATCGTCACCATCATCATCAGAAATTAGTTCCGACTACTACTGTGCCACCAACTACTACCACCCTTCCCACTACAACTGATGGAATCCCGGATATTGCTTTCTGGCAAAACAAGGAAGCTCTTTGGGGACAATATTATGAGAAGGTGATTAATTTTTTTTATAGTCGCTCAACTAATTTTCTGCTTCTTTCTAGGTTGTCAATGACAATTGGCCAATTCGCGATCCTATTCGTGCCGAACGTGTTCACTTGGACGAAGGAAATGAGAAGGATCGTTATCCTGTCTTCAATAATGATGCCATTGACTATCAAATCCATGAAATTGGTGATAGTGAAACTCTGATCTCATCATCGAGATCTTCAAATGGAATTTTAACATCAATCCTCTTACTGATCAGTTTAGCCATTGTTAGGCTGTAGATGAATGTGAGGAATGTTGATGAAGAGCAGTAGCTGCTCTTCTATATTTTTCTAAAACTAGAGTTTCTATTTATCATTAGATGATACGGGTTAACAATATACGGCTAAGATGAGATAGTTTAATGCTTCTTTCCATTTCCTGATTGTTTTATTTCTCTCCTCCTTGCTCTATGCGAACTCACTTTACTTCCCTATACATGCAGGCTTTCTATCATTCTGTTTTATCTTTTCATTATGTTTGTTTTACTGCTACTTCGATTCGAGATCAGTTTTATGTTTTATTCTTTTGTCTTCTCAAATTCCTTTAGCATCCTTCACAACAAAGTGTTTTATCAATGATGATGATGCCTGCATGTACCTCAACAATCCTGTGATGCCCTTCTCTCAGTGTTGTTCTATTGTACGATTGTGTATAGAAATGATATATTCTAAAGATGACAACAAAAAAAGAGAATAAATAATAATTTAATAATTGTCATGTTTTCTTCTTACTTCCTCCTATCCTATGTCTTGTCATCTGTTCTCAAAAAACAAGATGAGACTATCAGATACATCGGCTTCTTAGCTTTTATTACTCAAAGACGTTTGACTCACATAACTATATAGCCGTCAATAAGCACATTTTAGCGGATTATCTCAGGTGCGAAAAGAGAAAAGAAGTTAAAATGAAGATGCCGTCAAATGATAAACTGTATGTTACAAAGTGATTGATGTGTTACATAATATGTTGCATTTCAGTCAATTACTAATTAAGTTGTAATCAATTTCATATGAATATCTTTATGATCTTTCATGTTGCCGACATTTGCATCTGGAAGTCATGCACTGCACACGAAGGACAGTCAAACTACTGTCTGATTATGATATTCTTAAGTATATGTCGGCAACATCATATGAAATTTTAGAATTCCATCCATCATAGTTCATTGACGACGTTCGTCTCCTTGAGCGCCTGAAGACATACAAACGCACACACACATGACCACTTATGACTACTGTGGTGGGATGATATTGATAGTAATAATAAAATTAAATTAAAATATGATCATATATACATCTAATATGAGTGGCGGTGGCATAATATGAACCTTCTTCACCATATAATTAGAAGGAGAAATAATCGAAGCAACCGCTTGTCTGCGTCACAAATAATGAAAATGAATTTGAATTAACATATTATCGTCTGGCAACTAATTTCAAGTAGCCAAAAGCTGGTTGGTTCACATTCCTCATCTTCTCTCGCCAACGATTCTAATTCTCTTTTCAACTATTACAAGCTTCTTTTTGTGGTTTTTTTATACTCTTTTCATTTGAAAGCCTATTTTCTCCTCAGAATATCTTCCAATCATCATGTCATTCGCTTGTCAAGCTTGTCAAACTTTCTTTTAAGTAAACTTACATCATCACGTCACCTTCTGAATAACAACTGTTCGTTTTCGTATCGGCTTAAGATCTTCCTTGTCCAGATTTTTTGAAAGAAAAAACTTTATCTCACTTTTCCTTCAATCTTTCCTACTTTTTTGTGCTCCAATGACAATCGTCTAAAGACACTCGTTTGCATTCTGTTAGCAAAAATTATTTTTTTCCCCAACTTCTTCATTTTTTACGTTTAAAAATCCATGATCACCTATTCTCTCTCTCTTACTCATTGACTCAGTCACTCACTTCCTTTCCCTCTCTTTGTATCCATCTAGGCTTCTTGTGTTTGATCGTGTTTCCTTCATAATCTTTATCCAGTTATTTCATTTTATATTTCCTTACTCAGCTCATATTTCTTTCAAAAACTGTTTATTTGAAAACAATGAAATAGTATATGGTTCAACTTTGATTCTTACTTGTTTTCATAGTTCTGTTCATCAAAGGTCTCTGCTCTTTCATTGACCCAAAATAGAAATGGTGCATTTTGGTTCTTTCTATTTCAATAACTGCAATGACGAAAGCGAAACATCAGCTCAGAATAATCTGATGTTCTAATAGTATTCGTGGAATAGACCAAAGACAAGAAAAGAGAATGAAAAGCGGAAGCTGGAAATATATAGAGAGAAACAGTAAGAGAGAGAGAGAGAGAGCCTACGATTGAAGGAAGAGAGGGAGGTAGGGAAGGGGGGGGGAGTGAAGGTTAACCTCTTTGTTTCTGTTTCTTGGAATGTTTAAGATGAAGTAATGAATAGCCAAATGGATAAAGGAAGCATCTGTGTTCGATCAGCCTTCGCCGGCTTTTTTATATTTTCCTTCATCCTCTGTCTTTAATAATGAAATTTGTGAAAAAAGAAAAGAAGTTTATATTTAAATAACCACTCAAAGGCAAATAGTTTGTAACGCTCCATCTAGCACATTCACCTAAAACGCCATTTTCGTCTTGAGCCTTGTTCAGATTTGCTTTTTCCCGTCGTCTCTGATCACAATTGCTCGTTGTTGACATTCAGCTTCATCTGTTTAATTACCACTTGTAACTTATACATCTATCTATGTATGTATATAAACATGTATGGATATAGATATCTAACATCGTGTGCTTTCTGTATTTTAAGAGATGACTGGGAGATAGCTGGGCCTGACTTGCTTCTGCCATGCGAGCTGCACAATTGCTTTTACTGAATATGAAAAAAGTATTTTGTTTCGAAGCTAACCGAAGCTCTTTTGACTTTTCCATTTGGTGGAGTATGTTCTGAATTGTTTTGCTGCGTTCTCGCCTTAACCTTCTCCTCCTCCTCCCTCCCAAATGCTCTTTTAAGTATTTTGAAGAGAAAAGAACAATATTTTATCATTTTTAATGCGTTCCTTACTTGTACCAATTCATTTAGTAATTCGATAGGCACATCCGCTTCATGATTATATCGGCCGTTTTATGATTTTGTTGTTAAGGCATTAGGAGAAGCACACAAAGTTTTCCTCTTTTATGAGCTTCCTCAATACAACATTTTATAACGAACATTCAACACAAGCTTGTTCTCCGGAATTTCAGTTCGACCAATTGCGAGAAAAAAAAAGAAAAAAAAGATTTTCGGGTGAAATAAGAAGGAAACAAACAACATGAAACGAAGGTTAAAATAACATTTTGATATGTCAACCAGTAACACACACACGCACACACATGGTCATAGACGGCTGCTTCAAGCTGCTGAAATCGTTTGAAAAACGAAAATTAGCAACATACATTCAAAAGTATATTCAATTACTTTATTTGGAAAGTGTAAACTACATACACAGACTGATACATACAGCATACACACACATGCATTCACGTATAATTCATTTTGGAAACTTTTCTCTTTGAAAACATGCGCCAGATAATGAAAACACAGCTCTCTGCCTCCCCCCCTTACCTCTTTCTCTCTCTCTCTTTCTTTGCAATTTACTCAAACAGCTTATAACTCAGATTTTAAGGTCATTGCACAAACTCTCGAATTAGCATCTCATTCATGTGAGTTGACATTACGTGATTTCATGCAAATTTCACGTATTTCCTATCCACGTCCGTGTTTTTCATTATGAAAGCTTTCTGTATGGGCGTATGTTGACTCACAGAATGGTTGTTTCTTCATCTTCATATCAAAATAGGCTTCTATTAAGTATTATGAATCTATGTGTCATTTGCAGTCATTTTCTTAATACTTCAACATATTTCTGATAAAGTACGGTAATGATCTATCAATAAGCCATCCTACGTACATTACGTATTCCCCACCACCCTCTCTTTACTCTTTCCATCTCTCTCTCTCTATCTCTACTTCATAGCATGTTTATTGTTGATTTTCATACATTCGTTGTTGTTTCCTTACTGCCTTTTCACGAAATATTCATTCCTTTTCCATGGGCGTGTAATTTTTATTTTTTTATTCTCTCACTCTCTATTCCTCTTTCTCTCTATAGATCCCTCTTAATACCTTTCTCTCTCTAACTTTATCTCTCAGCAGTTGGTGTGTACTGAAATGAATTGAGTTAGTGTTGAATGTGGAGCTGAGTTTCCTTCTTTTTTTTATATATGTTGTATTTCATTCCCTCTTAACCCATAATCTCTCTCTCTCTCTCTCTCTCTTGAAAGTATAATATTCCATTTGGCTGCCTCTTCAAGTTGGCCACGAACTGTTTTTGTTTTCCTATTTATTATGTTTTCTTTCGTTTTATCTGCAAAAGTTTTCATTTTTTTTCACATTTTTTTCCGAACTTATTATTCTCATAATTTACTTTGGTTCTTCACGTTGTTTTCAAACGTTGCGGATTAAGATTCTCAAAGAGCTCATGAGATTCTAAAGTCAGCTTCTCATTCTCCTAACTAGCTATTATAACTTTTTTTTTTTGCTTCTTCTCTCTGTTGCTTTTGCTTCTCTCTGTTGCTTTTCCCCTGTCTTCCTTCAATATCTTTTTATATTCTCACTCCCTCTTTCTCTCTCTCTCTCTCTCTATCGTTACGTCATCATCTTCATCATCAAAGATGTCTCTTCAAAAAGAGAAGTTTTAATTCTGTTGAATTTGTGATGAAATGTCTCCAGAGGACGACAACGTTTTTTTTTCTTCGCTTCACGAAGACGAAATAAGGAACATTTCTTCCATTTTTTGATGGACGTCAGTCTTTTAGGTACATTCGATATTAATCTCCAAAGACTTGTGTCTTTGCTTTGCTCCGTTCATTTGTAATCCACATGACTCCATATGGCTGATATTCGAAAGCAGTTGAACCTTCTATGTCCTTAATTTTTTTGAGTATGATCACAACTTATTTTCCAGCTTGCTCCCTAAGGCATCATCTCAATGCCTTGAGGACTGACTTTCGTTAAAGTTTGTGTTCGTTTTTCATGAAATTATTTGACAAGAAGCCCATTTTTTTTGTGAAAAATTGTGGAAAAGCCTCTAACAAACAGAGAAACAGAAAGATAAAGAGAAAGAGAGAAAAGCATAAGAGAAGTGGCTGTTGTTAATAATTATCTCTTTCTCCTACTCATTCTCTCTCTCTTCTTCTTTCTCTCTCTCTCTCTCTCTGTGGCTATTATTTCCTCTTT